AAAGATAAGAAAAACGAAACTGTGAAGCCGGATCAAATTGTGCCAAAGAAGAAAGAAGACAAGAGCACTGCTGCGTTGGCTGGCAACTTAGATGCCGAGATATTTCTCCTTGATGAGGATATTTTTTTGAATGTTGCATATGATAACTGCACCTGGATTGTTGACTCGGGTTCCTCCTTTCACGTCACTCCACACAAAGGTTTTTTCTCCTCTTTATAGAGGTGGTGATTTGGAGTCATGAAGATGAGAAATCAGATGACCAGCGAGATTGTTGGTTCGGTGATGTGACTCAAACCACGGATGTCGGGTGTCGTCGTGTGTTGAAAGATGTAAGGCATGTGCCTGACATGCAATTGAACCTAATTGCGGTTGGCAAGCTTGATGATGTCGGGTTAGTAAACTACTTCGGAAGTGGTAGATGGAAATTGGCCAAGGGAAATTTGGTGGTTGCCCAAGGTAAAAAGGAAAGCTCCTTGTACGTGATGCAATAAAAGATAAATGGTGAAGAAGACAACTCTGTCTGAGATGGACCTCGTATAGAGTTATGGCGCAAGCACCTCGGCCATATGAGCGAGAAAGGGCTCCAAAACTTGAACAAGAAAGAACTTCTGACCGGGTTGAAAGGCCAAGTGCTGGAGAGTTGCACGCACTGCCTAGTTGGAAAGCAGCACGGGGTTTTTTTCATGAGACCGAATCAACCCAGACGACGCAGGTATATTCTTGACCTCGTCCATACCGATGCATACTCCATGTTGGAGAGATCCCTTGATGAAGTTTAGTAATTTGTCTCTTTTATTGATGATTATTCCCTCAAGTTGTGGTTATATCTGTTGAAATCTAAAGACCAGATTCTCCAAACCTTAAAAGAATTTCATGTTATGGAGGAAAGGGAGACTAAAAAGAAGCTAAAGGTGGTCCGATCTGACAATGATGGTGAGTACTGGGGCCCATTTGATGCATACTATAGAGCTGCTGAGATATGACTTGAGAAGATGCCCCCAAGACTCCTCAACTGAATAGAGTTGCTGAAAGGATGAACCAGATTATTGAAGAGAATGTCTGAAGTATGTTATCCAATGCCAGGTTGAAGAAATCTTTCTAGGGTGAGGCCGTCAGAACTGCTGTTGACTTGATAAACCTCTCACTCTCAAGGCCACCTGAAGTAAAAACTCCTGAAGAAGTCTGGACAAGTCAGAAAATAGCCTATGATCAACTGAAGGTATTTGAATGTCGAGCTTTCGTGCATAACCCTAAAGATGAAAGGGCAAAGCTCGATGCAAAGACAAAAGAATGTACTTACCTCAGTTCGCCGAGATGTGAGTTCGGGTTCCGACTTTGGGATCCAATTAAACAGAAGATAGTGAGAAGCCGAGATATTGTCTTTCACGAGAACATGACTATCCAAAATATCTCGAAGCCCAAAGTTCGGGTTGTTATTCGGAGTGAAGAACTTATCCCTCATGTTCGAGTTGAAGCAGAGGGAGAAACAAATGTTGAAAATGAACAAATTAATGAGGACTGAGATGCTGAGGTCCGGGATGATGAGATTCGAAATGAGTATGATTAACCGAATTCTCAACCTGAAGAACAACCCAGACACTATACACAAGTGAGACGACATTCTACAAGCTACCTTCCTGATGAATATATTGTTGTTGCTGAAGAGGGAGAACCACAAAGTTATTATGAGGCCATGACGAGCTCAGATAAGGAAGAATGTGAGAAGGAAATGTAGGACGAGATAAAGTCCTTGCATGAAAATCAGACTTATGAATTGACCGAGTTGCCTCAAGGAAGACAATCTCTGAAGAACAATTGGGTGTATAAAATACAACATGAAGAGAACGGTCAGAAGCCAAGATACAAGGCCAAGACTATGATGAAAGGCTGCAATTAGAAGAAAGAAATTGATTTTGAAGAAATATTCTCTCCTGTGATGAAGACGACTTCAATTTGAACTGTTTTAGCCATGGTGGCTTCGATGGACCCTAAAGTTGAACAAATGGATGTGAAGACAAAATTTCTTCACAGCGACCTAGAAGAGGAGATATATATGGAGCAACCTGAAGGGTTCCGAGCTTCGGGACAAGAAGACTTAATCTGCCATTTGAAGAAGAGCCTATACGGCTTAAAACAAGAACCTCGATAGTAGTACAAGAAATTTGAATCCTTCATGACTGAGCACAAGTTCATGAAGACGGAGGTCGACCACTGGGTATTTGTGAAAAGGTATGTGACCAGAGATTTTCTGATTTTACTCTTAAATGTTGACGACATGCTGATTATAGGGCAAGACAAGATAATGATACCGCCCTGAAGAAGGCGTTAAGCTCTTCCTTCGTGATGAAGGATATCAACACTGCAAAGCAGATACTCGGAGTCAAAATTAGGGGGAGATGCCAATTCGAGGAAGACAACGATGGATATTTGATGACATTTGTAGGAGGAGATATCTCCTGGCAATCAAAGTTGCAAAAATGTGTGGCACTTTTGACGACCGAGGCCGAGTACATAGTCGCGACTGAGACAAGCAAAGAAATAATGTGGATGAAGAAGTTTCTTTTTGAACTCGGCCATAATCGAGCTGAAATGTGACAATCAAAGTGCAATTCATCTTACAAAGAATTTGACCTATCACTCCCGCACTAAACACATTGATGTAAGGTATTACTGGATCCGGAATATGGTGAAGGATGGACAGCTCGAACTCGTCAAAGTGCACATTAACCTGAATTGGTCCAACATGATGACCAAGCCGATGCCAACAAGAAAATTTGAAGATTGCTGTGAAGATATTGGGGTGTTGCTGATGCCGACGCATTGAAGTCCGAAAGGAAAGAATTGTAGGGCTTTTCCTCCTTAATGCTACACAAGGACCAATGTTGGTGAGTAGGGCTCAAGAAACTCAAAGAACTTGGGGCTCAAGCAACCCTAATCTCCACTTTTGATATTCTAGAACTTTCTCTCATCCCCTATATGAGCATTAGTTGAGGGTTGGAGGAGAGGTTGACTTGTTAAACAATTTTTGTGAGACAATTTTGAGAGTACTTCTAGGGATAAGCTTGAGTGTTAGACTTCCTTAGGGAAATTTGAGAGAATACTATCATTGTAGGTGAGGTTTAAGTGTGCCACCATTATTGGTGAAATTTGATATCTTGTACCCATTATTTTCATAATGAAAGTTTGATTCTGGACTAGTGTTCCGTGAGTTTTTACTTCTTCACGTTGAAGAAGATTTTCTCATATTATAAATCTACTATGTTATCTCTCTGTCTCTCTTCTCTGTATTTTTGTTTTTCCGTTGCGCATAGGCCAACATGGTGAGTTCAGATCGACATCTGATAGTGCCAAGTTTCGAACTCGATGTTTAACTTTTGCAAAGGTTTTTTAGCCAAAGTTAAGAGACCGAGTTTGTCCCAATACACAAGACCATACAACCTTAAACGTGACAAAGTTTATGGTGTTGCTAAAAAAAACATGTTTTATTTTTTATTAGGAGAAAAGCAAAGCATTGAAGCAAGAGGGGAAAGGCATTGACGATTGCTGGGTTTCTAGGTTATATGAAGGTGCCTTTTTCATATTCATATTAGGTTTTGGACTACATAAAATGATTAAACATTAATTTTAAAAATTTTGAAGGACCAAATGTGCAAATAATAATAATAACAATAGTCGGCCATTAATACGGTAGTCCACCGGTAAACCGTTTCTAAAGCGGTCCAACATAAAATGTACCTCTTAAACGAACACATCTTCAGTAAGTCCGTCGTTGGTACATCTTTGTTTGAAAAATCGACACATGTATCATTTTTTTTTTTTATTCTCTCCGTACAATTTTTACACTCACTCTCCAATTTTTATTCGTTCGCCGCACTGAGAAAACGTTGCTACCGATGCACATTAGAAAATTCCCTCTTAAACATACAACCTCAGCAGCTACCAGACATGAGACAACGCAACGCACGTTAATTAGGGACCAGTAACAGCTAGTTGACAGTTAAATCCAACAGTTAATTGTATTGGGCCTGCCTTGCCACCTTTCATGTTCCTCCAATTTTCAAAATTAATTTATGCGTAAATCCTAAATTGGTTTCATTTTTTTTTTGGTAGACTAAATTGTTTTCATTATTTTAAGGAGGAGTATCTATTGTTATCCCTTTGAATTTATGATCACTCTTATCTTATTTTTATTTTTTTATAATTCTCTAATCAAATTAATAGTTTATTATCCATGTCGATCTGAGTGATAAGGAATTGTTTTTTCTTAAAGAAAGTATGAGTTTCAAGTCTTGTGAATAAATTGACAAAGAAAACAAGAACTTAAAAAAAAAGTGTCCTCTTTAATAGGTTTACTCAATTCGATTCAAATTTGTCGAAATTTAAAATAAGTTTAGATAACGAGAATCTCATACTAAAATTAAAAAATTTCACAAGTGAATTATATATTTGTTTTGTTAGTTTATTTTAACTATTTTATTATTATTATTGATTGTTATACTAACCAGATACTTATAGATTAAAAAAATTAAAAAGAAAAATAATTCAATACTTAAGGTCAAAACAATTATATTAAATTAGTGAATTATTTGGTAACGACATACAAAAAATAAAAAATAAGAGTGACAATAAAAAAATTGATATAATTTAAGTAAATTCATCATTAAATTAATGGTAAGAAATTGAAATAAAATATGAGTTCTAATTAAAAAATAAATTTTAATCAATTTAGTGCAAAACTCCCCGGTTTAATGATTTTATCTTCAATTGAATATTATTATGCTCCTTTGTGGTAAACTCCCCTGTTTCTTGTGCAATCAAAATCCAAACACCGGCGGAGTTTACAACAAAACCCTTTCAAACCCCACATCTAAATTGTGGTGAAGTTCAAAACTTTGATCGCAAATTATAGTTATAGATCCCAGACCTTGATTTGTTCCCAGCAAGAAGCTGAGGTAAAGTTTCTGTAACCACTATTTTTGTAACCTTGGGTTTTGAAATCAATGGCGGCTTCAGCTGGCGATCTAGTAAGTCTTGTAAGACATTCTAGTGTTGTTGGAAACCCTCCAGTTGATTTGAAGAATGGGGTATTTGGTGGCCAAGTTATTAATATTGGATGTTGTTGCAAGGGAAAGAAATGGAAGGCAAACAACGGGGTTAAGGTTTGTGCAGCTGTGCAAGTGGGTTTGGAGGGATCAAAGAGTAATGCTTTGGAGGGAACTTTTGGATTGGACGTGGTTTCAGAAAAAGAGTTAATAGTGAAGGGGTTTGAGGGGTTTAGGAAGACAAAGCTTGTGTGCACAGTTGGTCCTGCATGCAGTTCATTGGAGGATCTAGAGAAGTTGGCACTTGGAGGAATGAATGTTGCGAGGCTTAACATGTGTCATGGTACTAGGGAGTGGCACTGTGACGTTATTAGGAAGATCAAGAAGTTGAATGAGGAAAAAGGTTTCTCTGTTTCTGTGATGATTGACACTGAGGGTAGTCAGATTCATGTTGTTGATCATGGAGCTCCTTCCTCGGTTAAAGTAGAGGTAAGTCTTGCTTATGTTGTCTGCCATTTGTTGTGGATTCTGCTCCTATTAGATTGTGTTTGTGCTAGTGCTAGTCCTCTATGGTCACACTTATTAGAATTAGACAAATTGAATTTGGAACTATGCACTATTTAAAATTGTCTATTCTTTGTTTCAATGTCAGGAAGATTCGATTTGGCGGTTTACTGCTGAACGTTTTGAGGGTTCTCGTCCATTCACCGTTCAAGCAAACTATAGAGGATTTTCTGAAGGTACTGATAGTTTGCTACCCTTTCTTTTCCCAATGAATTTCACTTTTGACAACTTGACGTATTATGCTGAACTGAGTTAATGGCTTTCAGGTATTGAAGTGGGTGATGAACTTGTTATTGATGGTGGAATGGCATGCTTTGTGGTCGTTGAAAACACTGGAAATGATTTGCACTGTAAGTGCATAGATGCTGGTCTTTTCCTACCTGGAGCCAAGTTTAGTTTCTGGAGAGAAGGAAAGCTTGTGAGGAGGAATTACGAGCTCCCCACGCTATCGACAAAGGTATATATTGCAGCTTCTTTCCTCCCCACTTTTCTGGTGAAGATCATGATGGGTAAATTTTGAGTTCTAGGCAGTTACTTTACTTCTGTGTTGAAGGTAGTACTTCTTCATATTTACTGCAGTGAATCTCTGGAAGCGTCCTTAAGCTAACAACAATGTCAACTGTTGTCAAAACCCATGTTTGATATTTTTTGTTACTATGATGAATAACATCGTGCCTCAAGAGCCCATGCTCTTACATTTGTCAAGATATAGATAAATTGCATAATATATTTTTTCAAATTTCCTAATTTTGCTCCTCACAGCCCTTCAGAAGAGCAGGAAGAACTGTTAACTGATGTTCCTTCTACTACCTTAAATGCAATAATTTTGATAAATTCTCAGTCAATGGTGCAAATATTTTTTTCCTTTTACAATTTCAGTATAAGAACTTTTATACAAGTTTTGGTGGTGACATAACCAGTATAGCACGGAGAGAAGCGACCTTCTTCAGAAATGAGCATATCATATACTTACTAATGATTTTGTCTGTGAATTTTTTTATTTTTGTAATTTCTTTGAATGATAGCTATGAGTTTGAAATTATTCCGTTATATTTTTTTTTCTGATAAATTCAAATTGTTTTATCCACAGGATTGGGCTGACATTGACTTTGGTATAGCTGAGGGAGTTGATTTTTTTGCCTTATCCTTTGTCAATCATGCCTATTCTGTCAAGGATTTAAAGAACTACCTCTCTGCCAAATCAACCAAGTGAGGAAGCACAAATTCACAAAAGAATCATTTATAGTTTTATCAATATAATATAACCGAATACTCCTCTGAAAAGATGTTGGCTAAATTTCTAGAACAAAATTGCATGCTAGTGGCTAGGAATCTGCTTAGTATTAGAGGCATTAGTGCCATTACATCTATTGATTTTCCTTGTTTACCCATTTAACGGTATGATAGGAACCTGGCCACCAGCAACAACTAAACATAGAAGCAGCACCAGCAGAATAGAGAAAAATGACAGGAACTGTATTATATTGATCTGGAATTACAAGAACTGGAAGTGAATTGCAGAAAATAAAAACAAGAAGAACGATAGTAGGAGAAAGGGATTCTCCGCCCTCAGCCTTTGCTGAACATAATTCACCCATATCTTGCCTAACCTCTCCCCAAAGGCTACTCCTAATTATATAAATCAACTTTCAACAGAATTGCCCTCCCAAAAGGTCCTTCCACACTAATAGTCTCACCTTCCAACTCATGTGACAGCCTCTCCCACTAAAATTCCTATGTTGCCCATCTTATTCTTCTTAATATACACCCTTTTTAACAACATTCATATCACGGTATAACAACACTCTGGTGCGCGGCACTTGCATTGCATCATGATGGGGATGATCACGTAACACCAGGTTATTATCAGCCTAGACATACCCTTTTTTATCTTCAATCTTCAACCATATAGGTTGCAACCAATAGAAACATTATAAGTTGGGTTTTTCTTAATCCTATAAGAAACTGGCACATTCTGCGCTATTTCCTAGGTTACAATTGCATCTATTGTGATAGAAGAAATGCAATAATTGAGTTATTAATTTTGGTGGTCAGCTTCCCCTCTGTCATTGTTGTTTGAGAATACTGATGTTAACAGCATATCTATTCAATAGTTAACTGCCTCAACTTGTTTAAACATCAACGTTCTTTTCTTCTATATAAGTGCTTGAATTCAAATTTATTTTAGCACAAATCAAGAATGGTAAACAATTGTTTCAGATCAATAAAAGTATTGGCAAAGATAGAAAGCTTAGAATCTCTTCATAAACTGGAGGAAATAGTGCAAGCTTCTGATGGAATCATGGTGGCTCGTGGTGACCTTGGTGTCGAAATACCACTTGAACAGATTCCTACAGTCCAAGAGGATATAATTTATGTTTGCAGACAACTAAACAAGCCAGTGATTGTAGCATCTCAGCTTCTTGAGTCAATGATTGAGTATCCAACACCAACACGTGCTGAGGTAAAATGAATTTGCGCATCCAGGATGATTATTAACAACTTGGTTGAATAGACAGCATCTTAGGTTGAAAAGAAATATTACTAGGAATTTAGGGAAGAATGCTGAACTTACCTCTTGTAATCATATTTGCTTTTATGCAAAAGGTAGCAGATGTTTCTGAAGCAGTTCGACAGTATGCTGATGCTTTAATGTTGTCTGGTGAGTCAGCTATTGGATCATATGGATCGAAAGCTTTGGCAGTCTTGGATATGACTAGTAGTAGAATGGAATCGTGGAGCCGGGATGAAAACAGACAAAGTCTTCTCCATCATCATCAACTTGGAACATCATTGCCAGATTGCATCACTGAGCAAATATGCAATTGTGCTGTTGAAATGGGTACTTAATATTTTTTTTCTTGCAACTTCTAATTATATGAATCCTGCTGTTATTGAAATTTACACATTTGATCATGTGTGCAGCCAATAACCTTGGCGTGGATGCCATCTTTGTGTACACAAAGCATGGATACATGGCATCACTCATATCACGAAACCGCCCAAATCCTCCCATCTTTGCTTTCACCAATGATGAGAGTACTCGTATGGCTCTGAATTTGCAATGGGGTGTTGTACCCCTTCTGGTTGATTTGTCAGATGATGCTGAATCTAACATCTTAGAATCCGTCCAACTTATGAAATCTAAAGGATTGATCAGCCAAGGAGATGTTGTTCTTGTGGTCTCAGATGTTGCTCCAACACGTGCAACTCCTATGACTTTCCAGTCAATTCAGGTGAAGACTATTATCTAGAACCCATAGCTGCAAAAATAATGAAGGACACGTGTCTGTATATTTTCATATATAATACGACAAACATTATAAATTATTCTTGGTTCGAACTGTTAGCAATTTTTGTCTTAGACTCAGGAACACATTCCAAAAGTTGCTTATCAATTACATTTCATGAAATGCCTATTTTACGTTAGTGTTAATATATCCCAATTATATTTGATATATCAACTTTGTTAATGATTAGTGGAGTTGCTTGTCTTTCCGTACTTTCTTGGTTGCTGGCTACCAATAATTAGTTGAGCAATTTAGCATGATAAGAACAAATTAAGCCTAAAAAATAGTCTGAACATTTCGGTGTGTACTATAAATAACTAGAACTGAGAACAACTGGAGGATGATTAATATTGAGGGTTAAATTAGAACAAAAGGGTTATACATTTTAAACTAAGCCTACAATTGGAAGTTAGATGGTGGAGAGTTACGTGAGAGAGTGATACAATTGAAATTGTCTTGCATTTGCCTAGCACAGACAAAATGAGAAAATATTCGGTGTTTTTTTATTTGTATTTTTTGTTAATATTCTTTTTGTAATTACTGGTTTTTATTTTCTTTTTATTTTACTTTTTTGTTTCTAAAATTTTGAAGCATATTGTTTTTATCGGTTTCATCGTAAAATTTTTAGAACAAAAAATAGTATTTTTCTACGTATAATAAAAATATATCACCTTAAAAACAAATAAAAATTTATGAAAATATGTTTGGAACCTAAAACGATAAAAATGATTTGATCTTTTAAATTTCTATAAATCTCAATTGTTTGAATTTCTAATATAACGGCAGTTGTTTGTATTTGATTTGATTTTAAATATAAAAAAAAAAAATTGGCTTTACTAACTCTGGGTGGATATTCCATATTATTATGAGGAAAATAAGTGAAATCAATTTTATTTCTAATAATTTCAAACAAAATAATCAATTTAAATCCAATTTTCTATAGTTAGCTTAGCTCTCATCATTTTCAATTTTTTATGATTCCAACACAGCCTCTAAGATTCACATCTTTTCTTTTTTTTAACCCTTTGTACTATGCAATATATTAAAAAAAATCACTCTTTAATCGGGAATGCATTGATTTCCATTTTTCATTCTTATTTTTACTTATTTCCTAAAAGTCCATTCTAAGTTGAATTGTTGATAAAGTATTAATGCAAATGAAACAGTTTCTAGAATATATGGAAAAAAAGACAAACGGCGTAATATCATTTTGTTTTTCTTATTTTATTTAAGTAATATAACATCGCTAGTTTCCCAGATTTTCGTGGAAGGAACAGAATGATAGGGATTTTTGTGAGGAAATAAATCATAATTATCTGTATACGTTGTCAGCCTTTAGCCGCAAATCCACAAATTCATGGTTCTTTCTGGCCACAAACGCAGACCAACCCCGGCGCACATTAGCCACCATTGGTTATCTCACGCTCTAAATCATAATATGAAAGTTTTATTTCTTGATGACATGATACTTTCTAGATTGATAAGTTAAAAATATATCTTTTTTTTAGCCTGATAAAAAATTTAAAGCTGGAATATTAATTTAAGTTTCACATAATTTCCGATGGAAACAAAATATTTATAACTATGTACCCACAAAAGATATTTAAAGTATTTAAAAGATATTTATAACTATGTACCAACAAAAAAAAAAGATATTTATAACTCAAAAATAATAACAATAATTTGATAAATTTTAGTTAGAGTATAAATTTCCTTAAACTAAATATTTTATTAAAAATAAAATCTCTAAAAATAAGAAAACCTATTAATATCTTAAATAACATAATTATGGTTGAATTCATAAATTAATAATAACACAAATAATCCTGATATTGTGTATTAATTTTCCCTTTTAGAATAATTCGATTCTGAGAGTTAAAATACTATATTTATTTTAAAATCTTAGCAAGAAGAATATTGTATTTACTCACGTCTAATTTATGGAGAACTACAAAGAAATCGAAAAATTTGTGACAAGCGAAAATTGAGGCAGACACGATTGCAAGATTGACAGCCGAAGCAGTTACTGAGAATGAAATTAAACTCTAACGTATTGGCAAGACACACTCTTGATTAATCAAAGAGATCCTTCAATTTTTATGAAAGAAACGAAATATCAATAATTAATTATGGGTTTGATGTTTATCCTCTCTTTTTTATTGGTAAGCTGATGCTTATCCTTTTAAAGCATATTAACAGGGTTCAATTCTTGATTGTGTATGTGAAAAAGACTTATTGGTAAAGACAAAACTTACTTCGGTGATCTCTACGCTTCGAAAGAATTAATTTTCTGCCTCGATCAGGGAATAAATTAAGAAAACTTAAAAGAAGTAGAGTTATGCCATTTTAAGTGAAAAAAGATACAAGTAATATAAATCATGGAAGAAGAAAGTATATGTGTTTTTTTTAATTTAAATTTTAAATAAAAAATATTAATTTGTGTCTTTCTTTTATTTTCGTTTAAAAGATAAATTTTTTGCCCATTAATTATATACAAATTTAAATTACATAAAATATATTTACGATTTAAATACAATAAAAAATTTATGCTAATTTTATATATATTCTTACTAAAATAAAAAATTAAACTAAATGTGTTATGAAAACTTTAAATATATTAAATGAAATAAAATATTGTTATTATTATTTCCACAAATCAAATTTATTAATTAATTATTAACCCAATAAAAAATAACAGTTGATTGTAACTTATTAGTAATAACATTATCTGATAATATTAATATCCTATCCCATCTTAAATAACATAATTACCCTTGAATTCGGAAATTAAAAATAAGGCAAATATTATTCGTCTTGAAGGTTCTTGAGGTGCAGGAGGCTCTGCTCCACTTGCTTGCTTCTGTAGAAGAATAAGCCTTTTGAAGCCTTTCTCTGCCACCAAACCCGTTTCGTCCATTTGGGTCTCTCTCTCTCTCTCTCTCTTTCGAGTTTGGTGTGTTAGTTATGGCTTCCTTGAGACCCACCCTCTCCCAACTTTCCCTTTCCCAATCCAATTTTCCCAGAAAATCCACGCGGAACAATCCCCCACACTACTATTTCCATAAAAGGATCGGAAAGTTGCAAACTTTCACCGTTTCCAAGTCTTCTACTTTGTTCATGGTTTGCTGTGGAGCTCAAGATACCCAGAACCAAAACAATGGCAAGTTTTTTTCTTTTCTTTTTTACTTGGTGTCATTTAATGAGAAGAATAATTGTTTCTACAGAATTGTAATAATTTTTGCTTTGCAATTGTTGCTTTAGTAAGAATTGTTGTTTATTTGAAATAATAATCCCTGTGTTGATAGGTATTTGTGATATTCACTCTGTTTTCTCTGCAGATTATAAAACTTTTAAATATCTTGAACTGATTAAAGAGAACAAGTGACTAAATTTACCTTTTTGGTAGCTTCATACCACTACTATTGTATTTTCAGGAGAAGAGCCTCCCGAGTCATTATTCATGAAGGAACTGAAGAGGAGGGGTATGACCCCAACATCTTTGCTCGAGGATTACAAGCAAAGCAACTATGGACTTGATGAAGAGGTTTATGTAAATGAAGAAGATAGAGGAGGTTTCTCAAACAGAAATGCTGTCTCAACTAATGTTGAGAGGAGTCTAGACAATCAGAGGGAGCGATCTATGGCACTGAACAGTGAAGGTCTTGAGGTTGGTTCATTTTTTTACATTTAAAGGTTTTGTTGCCAGTAGTTTGTTTACATTAGTGCATCATGTGTTCCATTGTTTGTACTGCTCCTAGGGTGTTTCAACGTGAATAAAAAATACTAATTCAATTTTTTTTGTTAGTAAGAAACAAGAGAGTGGAGGTGGGGAGGACAAAGAAAGATAGGAAGGATGAATAAATGAGAAAAAAAGAAAAGAAATTCAGTTATAAATGGCAACAAGGGTGGGGTTTCAACATCAATCCCAAAACATTCTATACTATTTTATCTTTTATGTGTCGTCAAGTGTGGAAATAATTGGTCTAATTTCATATTTTCATTAATGAGTGATATCAGTACCCTTTTTCGCTGACAATTTTTAGTGCTATGAATTTTTTGTTATAATTCAAATCAGCAAACTTGATCTGGCTGTTGTGAACTTCAAATAGTAACATGAACACTTGAGACTTCATATCTTGGTCTGATGTTTCAAACTTGAAAGTTCAGATGGTTTCTATAAGGAACTTGCTAGAATCTTAAATATTTTTCAAAATGAAGTTCGTGTCTCATTAGATTTCCTATTAATTATTCTACTTTCATTATTTGAGATATAAATAAGATTTCATAAGTTAAATTCTAACAAACAATATTTCTTGTCTCTTCATAAATAGCTTTGCTGAGAGATTGAGTTGGAGTCTTTTAAATAATTTCAAATTAAAGTATGCACCTTCTCTGCTCTAGTGCTCTGTAGTAAGTAATTCTTATTTCTTGACATGAGAAAGAATAATAAGCTATTGAAGTTTTTTTATGGCAATAATAACAGAGATGATGCGTTAAGAAATTTGCATGATGTTCAGAGTATGCATTTGCCTTTCTCTGTCAGACCAGCGTAGACATTGGTGCACTTTCTTTTGCGTTGAATATTAACGAATGATATGATAGCAATAGCAGCATTGCATAATTTATCAAGAGTCTTTTCGCTGATAGAATCTACATCACATCTGTCCTGTTCTGCACAATAAAATGCCTCTGAATCAGAACTGATAATGTATTATATTGAAGTGAACTTTGATGCTTAGATCTAATTGAACTCTTTTTTGGGTAAAATTACCGAAAATCACTTATTTATTTATCCATTTCAGGGTTTGGTACCTCGTGCTAAAGTTCTGTTGACAATTGGAGGAACATTCTTCTTGGGATTTGGACCATTGATCCTCATAACTGTTGCATTTTTTTCTGCTCTCTACTTTGTAAGCTCTTTTCCTATCAACTGATGTTATTTTTACATTTTTATTTTTATTTTTTTATTTGTCCCATCAGACTATACTGTTTGCATGTTAAGCAATGCATATAGTATCTTGGCCATCTTGTATGTACAATGATAACATGATTTTTCTTTCAAGTTTCAAGTATTAACTTGTTATTAAAAGGAATAACAATTTGATGGACAGAACATAACACTCAAATTGGCAAACTACGTCAATTTAGAACCTATAGGATATATTTTCAGCTTCCTTTAAAAATAAAAATAAAAATCTCTCTTGTAATAGTTGTAGTTCACAGGCAATGCTGTAACTTTCATATACATGGATTTTGTGTCTGTTGTCTGGTAAACTGATAAAACTCAATTTACTGAGTACAATTGTTTTTGTTGATTTAATTCTTGGGGAGCACCCACTTCATTTAATAATCCTGAAGCTCACGATCTTTGCTAGATCTTCCCGTCTATCGCATGGTTTTATATTTAATACTAGGCAACAAACTTTACATAGCATGAATTCTTAAAGCATATTAGAGATATATAAAATCATTAATGTAGCCTCACCCAATAACTTAAGTTTTTGAGTTGAATTAATTTTTTTTATGCTATCAAAGCCTAGTGTTATGAGTTCGATCCTTACCGCCCCCACTTTCTCTTGTGGTATTTCTTAGCATAGCCTAACTCAACAGTTGAAGTTTTTGAGTTGAATTGGTTCTTTACAATTTTCTCATTATGGCATGTTGGTCTTGCACTAACCTCTGCTTTTGTTCTTGAAGCCTCACTGTTTTTTAAATTGATTTCTGATTGTAGTGGATATATAATAAGAGTGGTTGATGCCTTTAATGTTTTTGAGAGCTAGATTTGATCCTTAAGTTCACTGTTGCAGTATTTTGGACCGTCTTTTGTCCACGACGCAAGCAAGATGTCTTTATCACCTCCACAATATGTGGACCCTTATGCACTCCTAGAAGATGAAAGGATGTCTCAGATAGCACCTCGGCTAAATTAAAGGCAACATTACATGTACTTAGCTCATAGAAATCTAGTTACATATATCAAATTTATGTTTCCTTAGCTTCTATTGATTTAGTTCCTTTGTAAAATATCGTCCCAGGGTGAACTTGTTATCTATTTTGCGTTCATCATTGACTTAATTCTTTTTACCTGCCTTTTCTATATATTGTGCTCATAATTTATATCTAAATGAAAGCCATTAGAAGCAGCATTACTTATAATTCTTTATCTTAATTACCAAGAGACAAGAGGTATTCATTGTAATCCTTGTTATATTAAACTACATAACATTGATGCTATTATATAGCAAACCAATTGAAGAATATAAAGAGACACACTCAATGTGGGACTATACAAAGAGATACACTCAATGTGGGACTTCTATACTACGTACAACAACACTCCCCCTCAAGCTGGAGCATATAGATCGTATGCACTAAGCTTGTTACATATCTGGTCTATCCTAGGTCCTCTCAAAGACTTAGTAAATACATCAGTTAATTGATCATTTGAGTTGACAAAACGAGTGACTATATCTCCTGAGAGAACCTTTTCCCTAAGGAAATGACAATCTATCTCAATGTGCTTAGTCCTTTCATGAAACACTGGATTTGAAGCAATATGCAAAGTAGCTTGATTATCACAAATGAGAGATGTTGGGCCAGTGTCTCCAAACTTGAGTTCCTTCAGTAGCTGTTTTAACCAGATGAGTTCACAGGTAGCTGTGGCCATGGAGCGATATTCTGCTTCAGCACTTGATCTAGCAACTACACTTTGCTTCTTACTTCTCCAGGAAATCAAGTTATCTCCAACGAATACACAATACCCAGAAGTGGATCTTCTATCAATAGGAGAACCTGCCCAATCAGAATCTGAGTATCCTACAACTCTGGTATGACCTTTGTTTTCATAGAGAAGACCTTTGCCAGGAGCAGTCTTGATGTACTTGAGGATACGGATTACTGCATTCCAGTGATCTTCACAGGGAGAATTCAAGAACTGACTTACTACACTGACTGCAAAGGAAATGTCTGGTCGAGTAACTGTGAGATAGTTCAGTTTCCCAACCAATCTTCTATATCTTTTTGGATCAGAAAATAGCTCCCCCTGATTTGGTAAAAGCTTGACATTTGGATCCATAGGAGTATCAACGGGCTTAGCATTTAACAATGTTGTTTCTTCAAGAATATCCATAGCATATTTTCTCTGTGATAGTACAATGCCATCTTTGGATTGGGCCACTTCTATCCTAAGAAATATCGGAGTCTTCCAAGGTCCTTTGTTTGAAAATGATGGCACAAATGTTGTTTTAACTGAGTTATGCCATAGTATCATTACCTGTAATGACGATATCATCAACATATACTACCAAATAAATAGAACCTGAATCAGAGTGTCTGTAAAAGACTGAGTGATCAGCCTCACTTCGAGTCATGCCAAACTGTTGTACAACAGTGCTAAACCTTCCAAACCAAGCCCGGAGAGACTGCTTTAGACTATACAAGGATCTTCGGAGACGACAAACTAGGTTAGACTCCCCCTGAGCAACAAACCCAGGAGGTTGCTCCATATAAACCTCTTCCCGCAGATCACCATGGAGGAAAGCATTCTTTATGTCCAGCTGATACATAGGTCAGTGATGAATGGCTGCCATAGTAATAAAGAGGCGAACAGAAGTCATTTTCGCAACGGGAGAAAATGTGTCACCATAGTCAAGGCCAAATATCTGAGTATAACCCTTAGCCACCAAGCGGGCCTTAAGACGGTCCACCTGACCATCCGGACCAACTTTAACCGTGTATATCCATCGACAGCCAACAACAGACTTCCCAGAGGGAAGGGGAACCAGATCCCAGGTACCACTACTCTGAAGTGCACTCATCTCATCAATCATGGCATGTCGCCAACCAGAATGTGATAACGCCTCATCTGTAGTCTTAGGAACAGATACAGAAGAAAGAGAAGAAAGGCAAGCAAAATGGGATGGTGAAAGACGATGATAACTCAAATTCATTAAATACCTGGGAGGGGGACGAGAATCACGAGTACCTTTCTGGAGTGCAATGGGCACATCAATGTCAGACGGAAGGATCGGAGCTGCCGGAGGAGATGATGACGGAAGTGAGTCCACAGGAGCCTCAGTAACAATAAGGGCAGACTCGGGGGGGCAGGGTCCTGGGGAACAGGGGGACGTTGCCGACGATGATAGACCTGGAGGGGGGAACATGGGTGGGAACAGGGACGGTGACATCTAAAGAAGGAGATGGTGAAGGTAGCTGAGTAGCAACAGAATCACTGGGATGGGAGGAGGAGTCAAAGAATGGAATAGACTCAAAGAATGTAACATCCGCCGAGACAAAGTAACGACGAAGACTAGGAGAATAACATCGATAACCCTTTTGTGAGCGAGGGTAACCCAGGAAAATACATTTATGTGACTTAGCAGATAACTTGTCAAGACTAGGACTGAGATTGTGGACAAAACAAGTAGAACCAAAGATGTGAGGAGTGAGTGGGTACAAAGGTTGATGGGGAAACAACACAGAATGTGGTAACTGATTATGAAGTACGGAGGAAGGAATCCGATTAATGAGATAACAAGTTGTGAGGACAACATTGCCCCAATACTGGAATGGGATATGACCATGTAACAAGAATGTCTGAGTAGTCTCAATTAGGTGACGGTTCTTGCGTTCAGCAACCCCATTCTGTTGAGGGGTGTGTGAACATGATGTCTGGTGAAGGATGCCGTGAGATGCAAAGAAGGTTTAAAACTGATGAGACAAATATTCACGAGCATTATCACTTCGAAAAATGCGAATCGAAACACCAAATTGAGTAAGGATTTCATTAAAGAACTTGTTAAAAATAGAAAACAATTAAGACCGATTTTTCATTAAAAATAACCAAGTACATCGAGAATAATCATCAATGAAAGTTACAAAATATTTGTACCCCATAGTGGAAACGGTACGACTAGGACCCCAAATATCTGAATGAACTAAAGCAAAAGGAGACGAAGACCGACGACTGACACGATCGGGAAACGAACTACGAGTGTGCTTCCCTAACTGACACGACTCACAAGACAAACTAGATAAATTTGAGAAACGTGGGACCATCTTCTGGAGCTTAGCAAGATTTGGATGACCCAGCTGAGTGTGGATAGTAAGCGGAGAATCCACAACAGAGCACACTGGAACAGAAGTTGAAAGTTGATAAAGGCCATTGGACTCAGATCCGACGCCAAGTGTCCTCCTCGAGCTCCGATCCTGCAAAATGACAGACTCTTTAGTGAAAGAAATAATACAGTCAAGGGATTGAGTCAAGCGACTAATGGAAATAAGGTTGAAGGAGAATGGGAACATAAAGCACATTCTCAATGGGAATAGAAGGAAAAAGGAGAACAGTGTCAATCCCTTGGGACTGAACCAGTGACCCATTAGCCATAGTGATACTGGGCAGGGGACCAGACGTACAGAGAGAGGTAAATAAAGACTTATTACCATAAATATGGTCAGATGCACCAGAATCGAGAATCCATGGACCAAGAGAGGGCGAGTGAGAAACACCAGCAAAAGAATTATCCGCGTGTGCACTAGAGGCAGTGGTACCAGGAGGTGGCTGTGATCCAGCAATCAAGGCAGAGTCCGAGGCAGGAACAGTAGTCTGAGAAAATGAGCGGAGCGAGGAGGGAGACCGTGAAGATCCCAGCAACGATCAATAGTATGGCCTGACTTTTTGCAATGAGTGCAGAGAAAGCGTCTTGTAGAGGGTTTGCGTCTACGTGCAAAACCCTTGGAGACAAGGGCAGATGGGTCAATTGAAGAGGGAGCAGATACTGCAGGCTCCATAAAAGTCTTAGGTGGAATGCGAAGCAACGTAGACCAAACAGAGTCCAGGGATGGAACAGTAGTAGGGCCCAAGATCTGATCTCGGTTGACAGAATATGGCAGGGGCAAACCATAAAGAGCCATGAGCATGAAGAACGTGCTGCGTTGCTCAAGTTCTTTAGCAGGATCTGTAGCAGGCAGCAACAGTTCATTGAAATCATGAAGGAGGCCCTGAACTTTTCCCAAATAAGCAGACATAGAGACATCAAGTTGTTGAGCAGCAATAGTAGTGATCAAATTTTGACAAACCCCATAGAGTCGCTGAGTGTCATTGGTATAAAGTGACTTGGCCTGACGCCAAACAGACTCACAAGTGACGTGAGCACGAAAAATCTGCTTCAAGGACGAGTGGATGGTAGACTTGATAATGCTACATAACTGAGCATCAACCTTTTTCCAATTAGGGCGTACATCTACCGAGATGGACTCAGCCTTAGTAATGAGATGGTCAGTGTAGTCATGTCCATCAAACCAAAGTCAGAGATCAGAAGCCCAAGAATCATAATTGGAGCCATCCAACTTGTCGACGTGCAGCGGAACATTAATATAATTAGAAACAATAGGCGGGTCAGCCTTTTGAGAACCCTTGGATGCATCGTGGGGTGACAAATCAGCCATTGATCACCTGAAACAAAAGCAAACAGCAACCAAAAGCAAAGAAACACGCGTGAATAGGAACCAGCAAGAGAAAGAAACACTGTCGGAAGCCGAAACGAAGTCAGAACAACAAAGTGAGGACAGATCCAGGTGCGCAAGGAGAAGACGAGTTGAACCGTGGTGGTCGGAGGTCCAGCCGGAGCTGCACGCGCCGCTGCAATGAAGCGGACGGCAGAAGCTTCCTCCCGCGCATGTGGGCGCGTGGCCTAGGTGTTGGAGATGGGTGTTGGACAGACAGGACCGCCTTGTTGTGGCGGTCAGATCGATGGGAGTTTTGCCGGAAAATTCGCCGGAAACGGTGGTCAACGGTGGTTCTGGACAGCGGCAGTACTCAGACAAGGTCGGAAACAAAATAGGGAAGCCGGAAACTGACAGATGTGACGGTTTCCGGAAAAAAAAAAAAAATATTACTCAACGGACAATGGTCCACCGAAAAATCGCGGATTATGATTCCTCTTGTTAAGCTCTAGATACCATGTTAATTACCAAGAGACAAGAGGTATTCATTGTAATCCTTGTTATATTAAACTACACAACATTGGTGCTATTATATAGCAAACCAATTGAAGAATACAAAGAGACACATTCAATGTGGGACTATACAAAGAGACACACTCAATGTGGGACTTCTATATTATGTACAACAACACTTTATATTTTCAATTCTTTATATTTTCCAGTGATAAGTTAAATCGTGCTGGATGAAGTCCGTAGGCTAGACAAACGATGAAGGGTTTAAACTATGGGAAATATTAGTCTCATGTGATAAGAGACAATAAGTCTCTCCTACACACTCAAAAAGACGTAGGACCCACTTCAAATTCTTTTTCTCTTTTTTCTATGCAATGGGACCCACCTAAGTTTGTGAGTGTAACATGAGATATCTTATCTTATATTGCATAAGAAAATATAATCCCTTAAACTATCTTTACGTGGTTGAACGATTATGGTTTGGCACTCTTCAGAGTTAATTTTTTACTCTCTTACTGAATAAGGATTAAAAAGTTAATAAAACGTAAAAGGGGAAAAACATCATTTTAAAACTTTTGGACAAAAGAATTGTCACGTAAAAGTCAAACATGTCACTTGTACATGCGACTAGTCCTCTCAATGTTATTGACAGGACTCGTGTCACTTCAGTGTCATGTAGGCAGTTTTGTTACCGTAAAATATCGAAAGGTCATAATTTTTTATTCGGGTATCCAAATCAGATGATTTTTTTTTTTTGGATTTCATATAACTTTTCGAGATTTACGCAATGACACCTCATTTGACATATCTATCTCCTACACACATAGTTTAAATTTGTAACAATTGTATCATAATCACAAGATCGTTTAAATCCAGATGATGGCACATGTGGCAGTTCATTGTTTATCACAATTACAGGATCATTTAAATCCAGAAGATCTTGAATTCTTTCCGAACCAACACCATGAGTTGTCGCATGTGCTATCTTTTGGATTTAAGGGCCTGCTTGGTGTGATGTATAAGGCCTGATAATATAAGCTTATACTATACGTGATGACATTTTTAGTTGTTTGGTGTGACCATCGTATAGTATAAGCTTATACAGTAGGATTCCTTTATACATCAAAATGATTATAACTTAATCAGGCCTAGGAGGGTAGGATTAGGTCTGATAAATGGGTGATGTATTAACCAATGCAATTCTCAAGAATTAATATATTATTTTAATATTAGTATATTAAAATAAAAAGTAATTTTGCAATATATAATTTTTTAAAATATTAGAGATTTTTATTTTTAATATATTTTTTGGACACACTGATCAACATATTTCTATAAAAAATAATATCATCTGATATATTTGAAATAATTATGTAAATTTCATTATTAAAAGGTATTTTTGACAAAAATATTTATTTTTAACCTATCTAGTATTACATAGTGTATTACCAAACATTGGATGATATTATCTTATACAATATCATGTCAAATGCTGGATAGTATTGATAGTATTAAAATTTAATCAGATCTTATAGTATCAAGCCTTATCCTATACTATGTACCAAACATGCCCTAAACACTCTTGTGATTGTGGTACAATTGTTACAAATTCAAACTATATTTGTGAGAGATAAAATATGTCAAATGAGGTGTCATCGCGTAGATCCCGAAAAGTTATGTGAAATCAAAAAAAAAATCATTTGATTTGGATACCTGAGTCAAAAGTTATGGCCTTCCGAAATTTTGCGGTAACGAAATTGCCTACGTGGCACTGATGTGGCACGAGTCTCTTCAATATAAGGACATGTTTCTCTTCAATATAAGCGACATGTTTGATTGCGTTAATTTAGAAATACTTATGCAATTAGTTTTAACTCGACAAATTTTTGCCCAAAATTTTTAAAATAATGCTTTAGCCTACGTAAAAGACACTTTAACTTTTTATTTATATTTTGTAGTTATTAATATTGTTTAGGCATTTATATTTATTTAAGCTTTAATTTAAATTTATACATGTTATTTTTGGAGTATTTTCTCCTTAATTAATGGGATTGGCTACACATTCCAATGCCATCTTAGAATAAAATATGGTTCAAGTCTCCACGTATTATAAATCCCCCCTTTTTTTTGTTGCAATAAATCCCCTTAATTAAATAAAGAATAATTTAGAATGTGGAAAAATGTTCCATAGACTATCTATAAATAGCGGAGAAGTCATGGGTTTAAAAATAGAGAGTAAATTGTTATCAAAAAAAAAAAAAATAGAGAGTAAATCACTAGCGCAAGTAAGAAAGAAATTCTCTTTTTTTTTTTTTTGAGTTACCCAACCCTAATTATCTCTTTGAGACGAGTTGGCTCCCTTCGGTATCCCCACGAGCTTCGACTCTTTGAGCCGGCTATGGGACTAATCCGGAGTGCGGGGGAACAGTGATGGCTAAAAATTCTCTTCCTAAAGAGAAAGGAATTTATTATTATTCATCCTACTAACATATAAGGTACTGAGAGTGAGGATGTTACAAAATGTTATTAAAAAAAAAATTATTTTCAATATAAATTTTAAAAACGGATTTTAAGAGTAAAAAAGTAATAAAACTTGTTTGAATGTAATGGGATTTAACGTTATAAAAAAATTACAATTATTAATTAAAAAAAGTCATTAATAAAATTTCATAATTATAATATTGACACTGTAAAATAATTTAAAATTAAAAAGAAATTAAATTTATTTATAAAAGCGTCATTAATAAATTTTCATATTTATAAAATTTCTATCTCCAAAATAAAAAATAAAAAATAAATAACTTTTGAGAACATCATTAAGTTGTTCTGCATTTTTAGTTTTTAAAACTAAAAAATTATTATTATTTTGAAGTCATTCTTCAAAACAATCATTTCCAAACGGATACTTTTATTTCTTTTAACTGTATTTCACTTTGCTTTCACTTATTAATAAGTTCCCAGCATATACTTATTATTAACATTATTATGTGTATATTTATACATGTTATAATTATTATTGATCTTATTGATGTATATATTAATTAATTAATATTAAATAATTATTAATATTATCTACGTTTTATGTTCATTTAATTTTAAATTTATATTTCTATATATTAAAATTATTATTAATCTAATTTATGTATATAATTTTTAAATTATAATTTTGTAACTAATTAGAACTATTTTTATCTGAACTGACCATGTGATATTCCTCTATAGAAATAATTTGGTACACCTTTAACTCATGGATCTTCACTAGAACCAGGTGGGGGTGTATCTACAAGACACTCAGACGTTCAAGTCAAATTTGGTTCAAGTAGGTTTATTCATGTAGAAGACGATAAGTACTTTTGGATTAACACATATGTATTTATAGTGAAGAGATGACCAGCTTGGAAGATGCCTTTCTTCATGGTGAAGGCAACCATCTGTCTTCATTGGTTCTTATGAGTAGCTTTGAGATAAGCTTTGCAAAGGTGTCTTGGCGGTGAAGTTTACTGATGAACTTGCTGAGATATAGCAGTAACTGTAGCATCTTTTGTTGACTGAAGTCCTTGCTTAATGGTGAAGGCTTTGAATGTAGGCCTCATATATAGGTTTCAAAGAAAAGCGAGATATGAACCTCGTCTAAAATATGCTAAAAGTGCCTAAAGCTCTTAAGCTTAGGTTTGAAGTAAACCTGGTATGCAGGCACCTGAACCCTCATATCAGGCATGAAGTAAATCTGGTATACAGGCTACCTGAACCCTCATACTAGTGCTTAACGGTAAAACCTTAAGTTTGAAGAAAATCTGGTACACAGGTTACCTGAACCCTGGTACCAGTAGTTGAGGGTAAAACCTTGAAGGTTAAAGCCTTAAGTTTGAAAGGGAAATCTGGTATATAGCCTTATACCAATGCCTAAGGCGTGAATCTTAGGTCAATACCGCAAATATCAAACGAAGTAGCATCAAATTTGCGACATCAAACTTGCATCAGCGACATCACATGAAGACTTCCATACATGTCTCTAAGCGACATCAAGATTAATGAAAGGTACACAATGAATATCATACATGAATTATGTGATTACCATACATAAATGCAATGATGCAGGCTTGAAATGAATTGAGCTAAATGATATGTGAAACAAGTATTGAAGTTACTTGTATAAACTAAAAGTGAAAGATTCTACTTAGGCAACAGAGCTCATGAATCCAAGAATGATGAAAAGCGAGACATGAAAAGAAAATTGATTTCGCAAGAATCTCCCCTGAAATGAATATTGGCCTCCCAAGGCTTGAACCATAGGTTAGTACCGCAATATCAAATAAAGCGACATCAAGTATGCGACATCAAATTCAGAACAACGAGATCACAAATGACTTTCAGCCATCTCACCCAAAGCAACATTAAAACTCAAACAAGTGGCATCACATTCAAAATCTTCAAGACATCTCGCAAAGCGGCATCGAAACCAAAAGAGTACAATATAGAAAGGTACACAAATATATGTATTATGAAATGTATATGTAAGGTGCAGGTTACAAGTTTTATCATGGAAACTCCCAAGCAACAACAGAATACAAAACCAGACTGCAAAATAAAAGAACAGTGAAATGACTCTTTCGGGTTGATAAACAGACAAATTATCCCGCAAACTTCTACATCTCGCTACTTATGCTCTTAGCATAAGCAACAAGCTGAGGGGCTTCTGATTAAAATATTAATACGAGGCCTACATTCAAAGCCTTCACCATTAAGCAAGGACTTCAGTCAACAAAGACTGCTACAGTTGCTGGTACATCTCAGCAAACTTCACCGCCAAGACACCTCTGCTAAGCTTATTACAAAGCCTACCACAAGAACCAATGAAGAGAGATGGTGGCCTTCACAATAAAGAAAGGCATCTCCCAAGCATGTCATCGCTCCACTATAAATACATGTGTTAATCCAAAAGATATACATCTTCCTCTACATGAATAAATCTGCTTGAACAGGATCTAACTTGAGCGTCAGAGTGTCTTGCAGGTACATCTCCCACTTTCCAGTGAAGACCCATTGGTTAAAGTTGCACCAAACTATTTGAGTAGAGAAAGATCACATGGTCATCCTAAATAAAAATGGTTATGACCAGTGCCGAACTGTTAATGTCAGTTTACATTTATTTAATTTCTAATTTATATTTCTAATGCGTTGATGTAATCTTAAATTTATCATCTCAATTGATATATAATGAATTATTTGAGAGGGTTCAAAAGAAGGTATGAACTTTCAGGCTATATATAGGGATGTGATATTATTTTTTCTTTTTTTTTCATACCTACTTTATTTATTTATCTCCAACACCGTTAGATCAAAATCTCAATTAATCTTTATCATTCCTCTCTCATCTTGAAATTCTAATCTAACAATATTTGAAAGAAGTACGTAGAGTAGGCAAGACAAAAAATAAACACAATATCTTATTTCCTATATATATAGGGAATATAATTTCTCATGTTGCGTGAGACAATTTGTCTCATGCAACATAAGCACATAAAATTGTGTGAGATTCGTGTTTTTTTTCTCTCTCTTCTCTTCACATGATCTCATATGAGCACCACACACTTTTATGTGTGTGTAAAAAATAAAATTATCTCCTATATCATGAGAAACATTAATCCATATATATATATGTGTGTGTGTGTGGGTGGGTGGGTTAATCGGATGTCAAGTCTAAGGATTTGTCAACTCGAGAAATTATAACCATACAAAAATCAGTCAATGATGATAAAGATAAAAAGAAAAATATGATATTCATTTTCGATCAATTAAATAAAGAAGGTCAAATAACATGACAAATAATTAATCCTATATATATATATGTGTGGGGGAATAGTTTCTTCTATTGCCGGAGAAATTGTCCCATTCCTGCACAAACAAATTGGTGGATCCCTTCAGTTTTTTTTTCAAGTGTTGAGTCCCACGACATGATGTGTCTACAGTAGATCAATATCGTAGTGGAAGAGGCTTTTTGACCCTTATAACCTTTTATTAATAATTAATTACCAAATTGACCTTCATTATAAACTATTTCAAAAATTTAACCCCCTCAAAAAACATAACACTAATCTGCCCATGTTTGACCGTTGACCACCAAGTCTACCCGGGTACATCCCTCCCTACTCGGGTATATTTTGAAATTTTTTGCCTACCCGGGTAAGGAGGGGTGTACCCGGGTATTGTTCTTGGCACCTGAAAAATTGTTTGAATTATTTACCCGGGTACAGAGGAGTGTACCCGGGTAAATTCCCTGGGGCTGATTTGATTTACACGCTGACCACAACATAGGTGCCAAGAACAATAATTCAAGCAATTTGAAAAGTTGGGGACAGAGGTGGGAAGCAGATTAGAAAAGTTCAAAGTTGGGGACAAGGTTGGTGTTGGAGGGTTGGTTGATTCCTGCAAATCATGTCAAAACTGTTCTGACAATCTTGAAAATTACTGCCCACAATATACAGCCGCATTTGGTGCCAAATATATTGATGGTACCACCACATATGGAGGCTTCTCTGACTCTATGGTTGCAGACGAGCACTTTGTGGTTCGCATTCCTAATGGCTTACCTCTTGATGCTGCTTCTCCTCTCCTTTGTGTTGGGATCTCAGTGTATAGCCCTCTTAGATATTTTGGACTCGACAAGCCTGGTCTTCATGTGGGTGTGGTTGGTCTCGGTGGACTAGGCCATATGGCTGTTAAGTTTGCCAAAGCTTTTGGGGCTAATGTCACAGTAATCAGTACATCACCCAACAAAAAGGAGGAAGCAATAGAACATCTGGGAGTTGACTCGTTTCTGATAAGCCGTGACCAAGATCAGATGCAACCCCATGGAAATTTACCCGGGTACCGGGTACACCTCTCCGTACCCGGGTAAATAATTCAAGCAATTTCTTAGGTGCCAAGAACAATACCCGGGTACACCTCTCCTTACCCAGGTAGGCAAAAAATTTCAAAATATACCCGAGTAGGGAGGGGTGTACCCGGATAGACTTGGTGGTCAACGGTCAAACAGGGACAGATTGGTGTTATGTTTTTTGAGAGGGTTAAATTTTTGAAATAATTTATAATGAAGGTCAATTTGGTAATTAATTATTAATAAAGGATTATAAGGATCAAAAAGCCTAGTGGAAGATCAAGCCATTTATGGCTGCAACTATACACGTTACGATTATAAAAGGAGTGAGGTTTTTAGGATACTCCTTGTCCCCTGTTCTACTTATTCCTCTGATGACAAGCATTTTCTCTCTGTTTTTCTTACTTCACTAGTAATGACCAGTGAGAGTGCAAGCAGGAGACTCTACAGAGGTGGAATCAGGGAGCTAGGGTGGGTTGCGTCCCCCTAAAATTTGAAGAAGAAAAATTAAAGGCACATGTGATGTGAGAACCAGGTGGAGCAAGAAGCACGAGAGGAAAACAAGGAACGACTTATGCTCTAGTAGAGAGAACATGGGGACTTTCTATTCTACTAGCAAAGAACCCATTTTCTTTTCTCAACATTCAAATTTGCTTGGATCGAATGCTGTTGGGTATGGCTCATACTTCACATGATGATGTTGGCCCTAATTGTCGGGGTCAGCAGAAAGGCAACTGGGGTAATGTTTAGGCCTCTGTTTCTATTGTAATTTTCTTAGCAGTTTGGGCTTGGGCCCATGAATAGCTGCTGTTAGGGTTTCTTGTAATCCTATTTATATTTGCCTTGTAAACCGAGAGACTTGTAACGAGTGGCGGTGAGGTAAATATAGTACAGACAAGCTGGACGTAGCCTATATTGGGTGAACCAGGGTAAATCATCGTGTCAATCTCTCTACTCTTATCTCTTTTTCTGTTTTCTCGATTCTGTGTGATTGTCGATTTCCAACAAATGTGGGCCACACGAAAAACACTGGGTGGAAAAAGAAATGATATTGCAGACCCAAATTTGTTAGAACTTCTAGTTTACAATTACGATGGGTAGTAGAAGTCTTACTTGCACCATTTTTTTTTTTATCCTATATTATATATCTTAATAATACTACTAGTCGACATGGGTATATTAAAAGTCTTATCTGCACCATTATTTTTTTCTCTCCTATTGCATTTATATAATAAATATAATAGGATACTAGTACGAGAAATTTGAATAATTTGTATTAGGTCATGTGTTCAAGTATTCAAAAAAAATATCAAGTCATATAATTAATTTATAAAAATTTAAGACTGCAAATGATTTACATAAAATTTTAAAAATCGGTACCCATTGTATCATGGGTTATAAATAACTACTGATTCAATATTAGTTCACTTACATAATTTATTAATTGGATCGATCTAATTTGTAATCTTGATCCTGATTAAACCGTTGGAGTGGACGGTGTATTATTTTCATATGCATGCAAGAAATTATGGTTGGTGTTTGCTTTCAGTTATAGTGCCAAACATATTGGATTTCTTTTAGGGGGTGTTTGGTTCAAGTTTTTGGTGAGGATTACCGGTAATCCTTCTTTGGTAAATGTAATTACCACGTTTGGTAGAAGGAATAACTTACGATTCCCGGATATCCAAGGATTACCGGTAATTTGATTTATAAAGAAAAGTCACTATTCAGATTACCAAAAATAATATGGTAATTCGGAATACCAATCAGAATACCAAGTAAAAGGAAAGCACAACAATAAATTTTGAGACAAAAATACCCCAATACACATAAAAATCTAGACCCAATCTATCAATTACAAAAGTAAAAATAGTTTTGGGGTTATTTTTGTAAAATAACCTCATATTCCAAGTCATATTTCGTTCTAAACCAAATATGGAATCAGTAATTTTTACCCAATATTCCCGGTAATATTTTGGCGAACCAAACACATCTTTCGTAAGATTCCAAGTAAACTCAATTTCTACTGAATTCCCTTTAATCATAATTCCCGGTCACCAAAAAATTTCTCTTGTACCAAACACACTTAAGCTTTACGATTGGAATCCTGCAAAATTTCCTCAAAGGCTACGACACTAAATATAAGATGGAATTTTCAAGTTATGCAAAGTGCTTAAACTCAACAAGTTTAATGTGAATTTCTAGTTTATTTGTTTTTTATGCTTTTGAAGTTTTGGTTTTTGCATTATTTTGATATAAGATTTTTCGCTCCCTACGAGAAATAATCCTAGATCCAATGACAACTCGTTTACCTAAGTTGTATTAACATCACGGTCTTTTGAGAGATGTTATATTCTCTTTTTTATATAAACACATAATTTAATATAAAAGTGTAAAGAATCTTGGGATACACCACTCCAAAAGCTAGCTCAAAGGGTGAAAGTGTCCAAGGCCTTATAAACTCCACATTTGGACTATATATCTCAACACGCCCCCTTACACAAGAGCTCATTGGACTTTAAGAGTGGACAATGCAACAGGCCCAGCCTACCTGTGCTAAAAAACTCCAAAAGAGAAAGTGGTGGGCGGCGAGGCTCTGATACCATGTAAAGAACCTTGGGATACACCACCCCAAAAGCTAGCTCAAAGGGTGGGAGTGCCCAAGGCCTTATAAACTCCACATTTGAACTATATATCTCAACAAAAAGTAAATATTTTTTTTGGTCCTCAGCAAATTTCACGATGCTCGCTTTAGTTCCTAGCAAATAAAAAGGTTCATCGTGGTCCCTAAAAAATTCAAAATGGACCCATTTTAGTCCTTTTGAGGGACTAATATGGATTTTTTTTGAATTTGTGAGGGACTACGATTTCAACTACATGGATCCATTTTGAATTTCTTAGGGACCACGATGGACCTTTTTATTTGCTAAAGACTAAAGCGAACATCGTAAAATTTACTGAGGACTAAAAAAAGTATTTACTCTTAATATAAACTACTCAAGCCCCTCACCACTATAGCAAACTTAGTTGCTTGAAATGTTATATTCTCTAAAATAATAAAAGTAGGAGCCTTAAAAGGGATTAAATGAAAAAGTAAAAATATTTAATATTGGATTTGTAATTGAATGTAGTATTAGAAATTAGAATATTTCATTCATGTTACCAAAAAAAGAAAAGAATATTTCGTTCAAAATATAGAACTTTTCCTAATGTATTTAATACCTAATAACGTAAAAAATTATTGACACAAAATTAATTAAAAAAATATTGATTGTATACTATATAACATTTCATTTTATGTACTTAACAGTCTCTGTTTTTATAACCCCGTTCTTTTCTGATAGTTTTCAGATAAGGTTGGTGCGTTTTCATTTCTTTAAAATTTTGCTATATCTATGTATATTTAATGGGAAAAGTATATATTATTTTAAAGGATACAAAGTTGTGTTATCTCAAGGGAGAGAAAGAGATAAATCATGGAGGAGAGTGGAGCGAAAAAATTGTAAAAATGTGACTCTCGCCTCTTTGTGAGAGTGAAAGGATATAAGTTGTGTGATTTAAGATGACACACCTTTTTTCCCATATTTAATACCTTGGTTCATAAAACGTATGTAATATTTCTTACTCAGTAAATTGTTAATTAGAAGGGTTGACGATTTAACTTTAAAGATTTAAAAATATTTTTGTTATTTTATAATTTAAATATATGAATAAATTTTGCACTCTGCCTCTCTGGTTCTTTTTGTCTCTTTTTGCTCATGAATCCTTAGATGGCGGCCACCTTTGATGAGCAACTTTGTGAAACACAATAGGGACCATGAAAATTAAAATTAGTGAACAATAGCAGAAACAACTTTGTGAAGATACCAAGATCGACAAAAAACAATAGGGACCATAAAATTTAAAAAAAAAAAAAAACAATAAATAAGTTGAAATGGAATAAATAAAGAAAGAAAGATAATAGTGGTTCCAATCCAAAGACCATAAAAAATGTTCTGCAAACATTTATGGCAGCTTTGCCACATATGTAACTGCTAATATTTCCTACCAAATTGAGTTGGGGTTTTCTTAAAATCCTCGATCTGCTTCCATTTTCAGTGTTAGACTTTAACAAGGTCAAAGAGTTGGTGGGGGATAAAAACCAATGTGCTAAATCCAATATCAATTGGCTAAGAAAAAGAGAGATTGCCATGGCATTGCAGAGAAACTTCTCCATAGATGCACAAGGAAATGAGGGGTATAGCTCTAAATATGATGATGACGGTCACATAAAAAGGACAGGTATATATATATATATATATATATTTCTCCAAACTTCACATCCAGTCAATGAGTACTTGTTTCTCATATTCTGTGTTTTAACTTTTCTAATCCAATGAACACGAAGGAACATGGGTAACTGCAAGTGCACACATAGTGACGGCAGTGATTGGCTCTGGGGTGCTATCATTGGCATGGAGCATTGCTCAGTTGGGATGGATTGCAGGGCCTATTATTTTGATCATCTTCTCCCTCGTCACTCTCTTTACTTCTTTTCTGCTCAGTGATTGTTATAGGTACCCTGACACTGTTCATGGAACCAGAAACCCCAGCTATATGCAGATGGTGAAAAATATTCTAGGTACTTACAATAATACCAAATACTGAGGTTTTCCAGACATATATTTGTTTTGTTTTTATTAAATCCATGTCGTTTAACTGGTGAGAGTGAGAAAATGTACTTCAAAGGTTTTTTTAGATTGAACTTAGATTAAATTTGGTTGATTAGAGTTTTGTAACTTCATTGTCTATTATATAAATGGGTAATAGAGAAAACTATTCTCTCTTGCAGACACAATAATAAGTGGGTCCCAATTTGATTTTTTTTATCTATTGCTCTTATGTGAACCCCATTGATTTATTGAGTTTACGGAAGAGAATAATTTTATTACGTGAAAGGAGAAAACTATTCCCCTATATAAATATGAGGTAGGATATTTCTACTACTTATTTTTTCTACTACCACTCCACTACCATTTTAATTACCATTGGATTCAAAAGTTATTTTTTTTTTTTCTCTCTTCATTCAACTTTTCCTTTAATCAAATGGTGATTAAAGTGGTAGTGGAGTAGTAGTAGAAAAAATAGGTAGTTAGAATATCCTAGCTCTATAAATATATGACAATATATAACAACTATAATCATATGATAAATAGTTTACTCCATAATTCAAATTGCTAAAAAGAAAATTCTCTTAGTACAACAGAAAAAATGACAATATTAAAGTGAATGTGAGTTCAAATCAAGTTCATATTTTTTGTGTTTTTCTCTAGAAAACGTGCCACTACATTATGAAAGTTAAACATCGCTAACAAATGAAATTACACTGAGGGTTCGATGGTAGAAATAAATAGATGTCATTTTCTTTGGAAGTTGATTGTTGCATTGCAATCTTTCTGTCTCTTTCTCTCCAGGGGGAACTCAATACCGGTTTTGTGGATTGGCTCAGTACGGAAATCTTGTAGGAATAACCGTTGGATACACTATCACTGCATCCATTAGCATGGTGTAAGAACCCATTATAATATCTTTTTGCATATTATGTTGTTGAAATCCAAGCACTTGTGTTTCTTAGAGATTACTCCTTGTTTCTTAACCAGGGCCATCAAAAGATCCAATTGCTTTCATAAGCATGGCCACCAAGTGAGGTGTCATACATCAAATTACCCATTTATGATCATCTTTGCGATCATAGAGATTCTATTCAGCCAAATCCCAGATTTCCATGAACTTTCAGGGCTCTCTCTTATTGCTGCCGCCATGTCTTTTGGTTATGCTTCCATAGGCGTTGGTCTCTCCATAGCCAAAATAGCAGGTGACACATTGCATATGTTAAACATTAATAATATATATTTTAGCTTCAAATGTGTCTGCAAGAATGCAAGAAAAAAAAAAAAAAAAAAAAACTTAAAATATCATATGATTAACTTATAAATAACATTAAACTAATATAGATCGGAATGATTTGTATTGTTTTGGAGCATAAAAGGGGGAAACCATGTCAAGACAAGCCTCACAGGGCTTACCGTTGGAGTGGATGTGACAAGCAAGGAGAAGCTATGGAATACCTTCCAAGCAATTGGAAACATTGCTTTTGCATATGCCTTCAGTGTAGTAATTGTTGAGATACAGGCAAGTCATCTTAGGGCAAAATTGATGCTTAATTCATTTCATACACTTGTAGTATTGTGAACATTTCATAAAATTTCCCAAGCTTCTCATGACATGGAGATAAAAAAAATATCAAACTTGATTTAATTTTTTTTGTTCCAACAACAGGACACATTAAAATCAACCCCACCAGAAAATCAAGCCATGAAGAAAGCAACCATCACTGGAGTCACAATCACCACTCTGTTTTACATGTTATGTGGCGTTCTAGGCTATGCAGCATTTGGGAACAAGGCACCAGGAAACTTCTTAACAGGATTTGGTTTTTATGAACCATATTGGCTTGTTGACATTGGTAATATTTTCGTTGTTATTCATCTGGTGGGCGCCTACCAGGTAACATAATTTTTTTTTTATAAACAAAAGTTGCATTTGGTTTTTATGTACATATTGTGTGGAGGATTTTCACCATTTACATTTTCTATCTACAGGTATTTGCACAACCAATTTATCTACTAGTGGAAAATTGGTGTAGGAAGCGTTGGCCAGAAAGCAACTTCATGGCAAAAGAATATCATATCAACATTCCATCGGTTGGTACTTATAGAATGAATATGTTCCGGGTCATATGGAGGACACTATATGTGATATTCACCACTGTGATTGCTATGATATTGCCCTTCTTCAACAGCATTGTGGGTTTGCTTGGAGCTTGTTCGTTCTGGCCCTTGACTGTGCACTTTCCAATAGAGATGTATCTGGCACGAGCTAAAGTACCAAAGTATTCTCTTAACTGGATAGGGATGAAGTTGATAAGTGTGTTTTGCTTGATTGTGACTCTTGTTGCTGCAGCTGGATCAATCGAAGGAATTATCTCAGACCTTAAAACCTATAAGCCCTTCAAGTCTACTAATTAGCGTCCTTTATTATGGAAAATCTTGGTCCTTTTGTTGAATAAACTATATGTTTAGTTGGCTCTTGGGATGATTAGATTGTTTCCAGTAGTTTTTTTACTTCATTATTAATGATCCGTTTGGATGAACTTTTTTAGAAAATATCTTAATCTTTGTACTTAATAAATATATGGATTTATGCAAAACTTTCCGCATGAAATGAAATATGATACTCTCTAAGTCTCTTTGTTCAAATAATGTATGTGTATTTACATAAATTCCTTTGTAATAACTTGTACATGATTTCTTATGCATTATTTATTTAATTTTAATGCATTGTTTGTTAATAAAAAAAATTCCCCTCCGTTTTAATACAAAAGAATCATACTAAAATTATAATAATTTGAAATAAATCAAAATTTCCATAAACTTATTTCTAAGGCCACATTAAACATTTTTAGTTATCACATAAATTATAGTTCTTTTTAAAATTTACTTTGGTCATCATGTAAATTGTTTTTTTGTTTAAACCTTTCATAAACATGAGTTTACCTATGATATTTCCTATCGAAATAAATTGACGAAAAAAAATTTTCTTGACCGTACATATTAAGGAAACGATTTTCTTAATACAAGAATCCTAATTTCTTGTCCATGTAGCTTGAATTACTTGATATGAGAATTTTCATAATTTTTTGTGGGTAAAGCAATTCTTTCACAAGATTCATCAATTATATTCATACAAAAGGAACTCCTTTAAATGATTCAAACAATTTGTTCAGACAATAATATTATCTGAAATTCATGATACATCACTTAAATAATAAATTTAGAACTATAACAAGTCATTGGAATATAAAAAAATAAAATAAAAAAATGCAAAAATATGAATAAGAAATTAAGTAAAGTAAATTAATTAGAACATGTAAAAATATAAATCAGGAATTAAATAAATATAAATACTTACACAAGATTCATATTTGCAGACTTATAAATTTGTAAACATATACACATAGATAATATTACCAATAATTTTAACGTGCGTGGAAAATAAATCAGATATTTAATAAATATAGAAACGTAAGCAAGATTCATAATTGCATAAATATGAATTAATAATATATATGAAGATATTGTAACGTGCAAATTTATAAATTAGAAATTGAATAAATATAAATAAGACAAATTTGTTAATTGCACTTATATAAAGAGTTTAGTGGACGTACAGTAACTGCATCTATGAATTGTTGTGGTCAACTATGTACTAGAATTATAATAAATATTATAACTATGTACTCTCGAAAGTACACCAGAGAAGAACGATGTACTCTTGTACTTTCGGGAGTATATATAGTGAATCGCATCAATCTTTAGGTGCAGTCACTTTACAAACAATTTTTTCATATATAAATTAAGGGAAAGCACACCTTCGTACAAGGCCAAGAAACGCTACCCATCTCAATGGTGGTTCACTATGATGCATCGACACTTCAAAAAATCTAACATGTCATATTCGATATTTTCTGACGCTTTTCAGCACTCCAACACGCATTGTAGGGACTCAAACAAAGATTGAAAGGTTGCGTTGTGTTGCATTTTTAGTTCCAACTATTAGATTATGATTACAGTTTTATTGAGTTTAATTGCATACATATAAGGAGTTTAGTGGATGTGCAGTGACAGCATCTAAGGATTGTTGCGGTCAACTATGTACTCCCGGAAGCTATGTTGTATCGATACAGACACGAGACACGGGGTACGATACGACACTACACTTCGACATGTTGATTCTAAAAAATATTAGATTTCGGCATGTTAGAACACGTTTTGATATTAAATAATATTTTTAATTTATGTAGTGTATATTATATTTAATAAAAAATGAAGCTAAACTTATAATAGCCATCAATTTTGTAAAGATACATAAGATATTCCAAATATTTATATTAAACTCAATAAAATGATAATCGTAATTCAATGAATCTAATAGTTTGAATTAAAAACGCAACGCAATGTAACATTTGATCCTTTTTTGAATCTTTACAACGCATGTTGGAGTGTCGGGAAGTGTCGGACACGACACATCAGAGTTTTTGAAGTGTCGGTGTTTCGTAGCCCGGAAGTACACGAGAGAAGAACGGTGTACTCTGGTATACTTCTGAAAATACATAGTTATAATATTTATTATAACTATGTACTTCAGGGAGTACATAGTGAACCACACCAATCTTTAGGTGCAATCACTTTACAAACAATTTTCCCATATATAAATTAAGGGAAAGCACACTTTCGTACAAGGCCAAGAAATGCTACCCATCTCAATGGTGGTTTATTATGATGTACCGACACTTCAAAAAAATTAACATGTCGTGTCCGATATTTTCTGACACTTCCCGACACTCCAACACGCATTGTGGGAACTCAAACAAGGATTCAAAGGTTACGTTGCGTTGCATTTTTAGTTCCAACTATTAGATTTATAGGATTATGATTAAGATTTTATTGAGTTTAATATAAATATTTGTAATATCTTATGTTTCATTGTAAAATTGATGGGTATTATAAGTTTAGGTTTATTTTTTTATTAAATTATAGAATATTAAATATAATATACACTACATAAACTAAAAACATTATTTAATATTAAAATGTGTCCTAATGTGTCAAAATCTAATATTTTTTAAAAGTAATGTGTCGGAGTATCGTATCGTGTCATGTCCTGTGTCGGTGTCGGTGCAACATAGGTGGATTATGTTAGATATGGTTCATACTTTGCATACAGATAGGGTGCGCATGACAACCTTCCCGGAATCATTTTTTTTTAATTTCTGTTCTCGAGAACAGAAATGGATAGAAAACTCGTTTGGTAAAACCGATTTATTTTTTGTTCCCCGAATGAACCGGCTTAATTTTTGTGCTGGGGAACAGAAAAAAGAATCGGAAAATTTCTGCTTTTTTGTTCCCGAGTACAAAATGAGAAACACTTATCTCTCGCAATCATTCTCCACCTCTACCATAGTCACCACCGCCACTGCCACCATCGTCGCCGCCGTCGTCGTACCATTAGTGTCGTCACCCCCCACCACCACGATGCCACCGTCGCCACCACCACTGTCACTGTCACTGTCACTATAGCCATCAATCACCACCACCATCATTGCAACCACTGCCGCCATCACCACGCACTGTCACCGCTACCATTACCACCATTGTCACTAACCACCACTACCATTGTCGCGGCCACTACTGTCACCACCTCCGCCGCCGCCAACCACCACCACCCCCGCAACTACCATCACCACGCCATTGCCACCACTACCACAGCCGCCACCACCACCATTGTCACCTACCACCACCGCCGCAGCCACTGCCACCACCACCATGCCACCGCTACCATTATTGCCGCCACCAACCACCATCTCTACCATCATTTTCGTAGCCACTGCCGCCACCTCCACCACCACCATCCCCACCACTACCACTGTCGCTGCCACCATTATCACCACCATCGTCGCAGCCACTATCGTCACAACCACCACTATCATCACCATGTCACTGCCACCACCACTATCGTACTGCCGCCACCACCACCACCACCACACCATATGAAAATGAAAGTGATGATCCGATTTTTTTTTATATTTAATAGGAATTATTTTTTTATCAAACACAATTTTCATTCTCGGAATAAAAATAGAACTTGTTATGAAACACATTTTTTTTTTCAGAAAGTGTTCCAAGGCGTAGAAAAAGAAAAGAATTGTTTCTTTTCAGAAACAGTGTTAGGGAATAGAATGGTTGTCATGCACACCCATAAGGACTCTTGTTGGTGGGATCAGCAGAAAGTCAGTAGAGGTTTGGTATTGTTATGGACCTCTAACTTATTGTAATTTTGTTTTTCTCAGTAATTTGGTTTGGACCCATGAATAGATGTTGTTTGGGTTTTCTAAATCGTATTTATATTTTCTTATAAATCGTTGACTTGTAACACGTGGTAGTGAGTCAAATATACAGACAAGCTGAACGTAGCCTACATTGAGTGAATCAGGTTAAATCGTTGTGTCAAATCTATCTTCCTTTTCTCTTTATTATTTTCGATTTGTGTCAATCTATGATTATATACCAACTGAAAATGAGAAAAAACTTGAGTGGTGGGATTGATAATTAATATCTTTTATATTTTCATAAGTTTTACTCCTGATTCAGCTAATGGGTTAAAAATAACGTTTGAAATGTACTAGAGCTATAATTTGTTATCCGGTAATTTAAATGTAGATATATTCCATCACTTTATAACTATTATTCTCTTTACGAGTACAAATTCATAATACGGGGAACAAAAATTTATAAGTTAATAGCAAAACACAAAACAATTCAGACTCATATATAATTAGGTTTGTTTTATTACTTGGATTATAACCATTGAATAAACAAAAAAAATAAGGAAATAACTAATAAAATTAATTAAATATTTATTTAATTTTTTTAGATAAAAAAATAAAATATATTAATTTATAATGAATTAGAAGAAAACAACACAATTTATTATGTAAAAAAATTAAAGTTTTACTTGTTGTGTAATGAAAATACTATTTTTTTAATTTTTTAAGTATATATTTACGGGGAAAGATATACTTACCGCCAAAAAAATTTATCACATTTACAATCAATCTAATCACTGTTGATTTCCGTCAATCTAACAGTTATCATTTATTGGAAATTATTAGATCGCATTTATTAATTAATTATTATTCCCAATAAATGATAACCGTTAGATTGACGGAAATCAACGGTGATTAGATTGGTTGTTGATCCGGATAAAATATAAGCTCAATCAAAGCCCCATAAGGAAAGCCCAAGCCCTTCCGAAGAACAAGGAACAAGCATTGACGCGATGCCCACATCGCGGCGTTCCAGACGCGATATCCCCATCGCGACATACAGGACGCGATGGTCTCCTCGCGGCACACAAGACTCGATTCTCATATCGCGTATGAAACCTTCTAAGAGAAGTAAACTTAAGGCTCAAGGTAACTCCACCGCGTCTTAGCTCCAGTAAACAACGAACAGCTCCAGCTTGCCTCAAATCTACTACTAGACCCTCTGAAAGATAAGGCTACACAGGTCCCCTAAATAACCTGCAGCCCAAAGCTGGCCACTCAGAAGCCAAGCCGCCTTAACTAAGGCGGCATCCCAGTTATTATATAAACACACGATATACCACCAAGGTACGATCATCCTTTACTTTAACAACATAACACATCTGCCTCTGATACTAACTTAAGGATCGGAGTGTCTTCGCTGGTACCCCCATTTGGTGCAACGTGCCAACGTGAAGGACAAAGCTCAAGATCATTCCAACAGCAATACTAGGCCCAGGCCAACCACGATGTAAGGTGATTCAACCGTGTGTGATTTGGCTCAATACATATAGGTCAGTCCATACTGTATTTGGTCAGATCAGTTGTAAAGGTGGTAAACTTTTTTTGTGGTAAGTATATCATGTCCCTATATTTACATATATAGAGTTTAGAAAAAAATTGTAAAACAAAGAAGTCTTGCTTATTTTGTAATGTAGTAACTCTTTATTTAAATTTTTTAGTATTTATTTAAAGGAGTTTATTAATAGATTGTTTTAAATTTTTTAAGTAACATAAAAAAATGCTCAATGAAATAAATTTTGAATAATATATTTTATAATATTGTATTATTTAAATATTCTAACTATAAATTTACAAGTTATAAAAATTAGTTATAAGTCGTTTAAATTAATGCCGAATCAATTTAATGAATAAATGATAAAAAAAAATATTTGAAATAACTTAAATAATAGTAAAGTTACAGTGATAAATTTAAATAATAAAAATAAATAAATGTTTATGCTATACAAAGACAAAATTATTTTCTGCAAATTTTAATATATAAATAAATATATGTGCAAAAATATTTCTTCTGCAACACAACAACTTTAAATGGATGTTATTTTGGGGCTTAGAAAAAAATATAAAGTATTTTTAAAAAAAGTTTACTTTCCTCATGTATTGTGCTGAAATACTCTATATTTTTTTTTCAAATTCCAAAATGAAATCATTTTCAAATTTCATGAAATAGTTTTAACTCGTATTACACAAGAAACGTTAATTCATTTTTTTAATCATAAATTTTGTTTATCACATATAAAAAAATTATTCTATATCAAATTATCTAAATAGAAAAAATGTAAAAATTATTTGGTAAAAAACAAAGAAACATTTTTATACAATTCGTAAAACAATCAAAAGTAATAATTAAAAAAAAATTAGATTGAACCATTGTGGATTCAGAACCAATGAATTATCACATAAAGGGTTAAGTATATCAATGTAGGGATGCTCAAAGTTACGATGGTATGGACCAAAGAGCAAGATGAGTTATCTAAATCCTAGGCAAATAATTCTACAATGGAGGAGGTGTATTTCGGTGACGTGGCTCTAAATTCATAAATATATAAGAAATCCAATACACACCATTAGCATTGCCTCGTCATAAAATGTCATCTAGAATATTCTAGACTTGCATCATTAGTAACGAGCCCAAATCTAGTTCGAGTTAGTGAAGTAGCTCTTCTAAAGAGAATTTTTTTGTACTCACAAGTACTTGAACCAAAGATCTTGTTTAAGGAAAATTAAACATGTACCATTTAAACCAACCCTATTTGGTAGATTACAATGTTTATTAGTTTATTCTTATCATTTCAAACTTATCATTTATATCACATATGATTTGATTTGTATAACTTAACATTGAATATAAAAAAATCTTATTATATAAAATTTCTTAACATATGAAATAATAAAGTATAAATAAAATATCAAAGCTAAGCTACCTCTAATTAAAAAAACCCTAAAATATTATATAAATTTAATACTCAATTTTTAAAAAAAAAATTATTTGGTCATATTTAATAAAAATTGAAATTAACCTTTTTTTATTTATTACTGTAACACAAATATTATCAGGGTTTAATGTCTCTTATGTTATAAGAGATAAATTATCTCTTACATACATATAGAAGTATATGAAACCCATGCAGGATCATGTGAAGGGAAGAACAAAAATATATATATATATATATATATATATATATATATATATATATATATATAAGTCTTGCACATGTTTACGTGTGTATAACTACAACATTAGAAACATTAATCACGTTATATTCTATGAATGAATATATAATGGGAGAAAGATCATTTGACGTGTAAAAATAAGATAATTTTATTACAACAAATTAGAATATTTTAATGTTTTGTAAAACGAAGACATTTCTTATATCTTATGAGTTAACGAAACCATGTAAGGAATAAGTGAAAAACACTATATTAAGACGTGGTGAAATTGAAATTTTCCATAAAATATATTACTAATCAGATCTAAACCATTAAACCACATATAAATCCTTTAGAAGGGAGAAACTATTTCATCAATCAGAACCGGCCTAAAACATGTTAGCTACGGGCTTTGAGCCCTCCGAAAAAAAAAACACGTTAGCAACATTGTAATGTTTTTTCACGAAAATAAAACTCAACGATTTCTTTCCCGTAGAGAGCGAAAATAGATGTCAACAGAAGTATAACTGCATATAACTTCAAATAAGGGAGAAATACGGATAACACATGCCAATGAGAATTATGTTTAGGTCTGCGACAACATCTAAGAAAAGATGGCGCATAAATAACAAAGCATCCAAAGGAACAAATGACAAAGGCTCGAAGCTATCCAAACACCAAACACTAATAACAAAGGGCCTCAAGAGAATCTGAAATAGATTCTAGTAATCCTCTATATCGTCATCCCCACCCTCAGCAGATTCGGCACCCACTTCTTCGTAATCCTTTTCAAGGGCAGCAAGATCCTCACGAGCTTCGGAAAATTCACCTTCTTCCATACCCTCACCCACGTACCAGTGGACAAAAGCACGCTTGGCATACATGAGGTCAAACTTGTGGTCAATGCGACTAAACACCTCAGCCACAGCTGTGGAGTTCGAAATCATGCAAACTGCCCTCTGCACCTTGGCAAGGTCACCTCCAGGAACAACAGTAGGTGGTTGATAGTTAATACCACACTTAAAACCAGTAGGGCACCAATCCACAAACTGAATGGTCCTCTTGGTCTTGATTGTGCCAACAGCAGCATTCACATCTTTGGGTACAACATCACCACGATACATCAGACAACATGCCATGTACTTTCCATGGCGAGGATCGCACTTAGCCATCATAGATGATGGCTCAAAGGCACTGTTAGTAATTTCAGCCACTGACAGCTGTTCATGGTAAGCCTTCTCAGCAGATATAACTGGAGCATAGGAAGAAAGCATGAAATGGATTCTAGGATAGGGGACCAAATTGGTCTGGAACTCAGTCACATCCACATTGAGCGCACCATCAAACCTTAGGGAAGCAGTCAAAGAAGAAATCACCTGAACTCCAAAGAAAGAAAAACATTAACCAAAGATATTTTATACCAAGGTGATTGCTTTAAAACAATATGAAATAATCACAAGAAATCAGAACCAACATACTAAGATTAACATGCCAATCGGATATTCAAAAATCCATGTACTCCCTAATTGATGAAACTTACCTGAGAAATAAGGCGGTTGAGGTTGGTATAGGTGGGACGCTCAATGTCAAGAGAGCGCCTACAAATGTCATATATAGCTTCATTGTCCAAAAGAACAGCCACATCAGTGTGCTCCAAGAGGGAGTGGGTAGAGAGGACGCTGTTGTATGGCTCAACCACAGAGGTGGACACCTGAGGAGAGGGATACACAGTGAACCCGAGCTTCGATTTCTTACCATAATCAACTGACAGACGCTCCAACAGAAGGGAACCAAGACCAGAACCAGTTCCTCCACCAACAGCATTGAAGACCAAGAACCCTTGGAGACCGGTGCAGTTGTCAGCAAGCTTTCTGATGCGGTCCAAGCACAGATCAACGATCTCTTTCCCAACTATAAGGAGCATAGATAACAGATACAATATAAGATAACAAACAAACCCAATTATGAAGCTAAATGAAATACCATGGAACTGGTGATGTTGAGACTTACTGGTGTAATGACCACGAGCAAAGTTGTTAGCAGCATCTTCTTTGCCGCTGATCAGCTGCTCTGGGTGGAAAAGCTGACGGTATGTTCCAGTCCTCACCTCATCAATAACAGTAGGCTCGAGATCTACAAAGACAGCGCGTGGGACGTGCTTTCCAGCACCAGTTTCACTGAAGAAAGTGTTGAAAGCATCATCACCACCACCAACAGTCTTGTCACTTGGCATTTGGCCATCAGGCTGTATAGAAATTTGAATTTCAGTGTCTCATTTCTAAAATCTCATTTTAAAAATACACGACAAAGTGATATTAACATATTGGATTTAATATAACCATTAACATAACTCAAGATTAAACAACCACAAAATGAACCATCAATGATTCCAGAAGCAAATCATTATGTCTGACTGCTAAACAAAAGGATCTAATCAAAGTCAGTCCTAAGGTTCCCCTATAGATCCAAACATAGAAAATGAGACTACATTCTCGATCTAAATTTACAGATCTATAAACAAGTTCAAGAATACAAGCCGAGAACAATGTAGATCTTGGAAATATAAACGGAAAAAAAATAATCAAATTTCAAACACAATGCAGATAAGATATATATACAGAACCGATTGAAGATAAAATCAAGAAACTAATGAAATTATGAAAATAACATTCAAACAACCTTAGATCTGTAAGATCGAAACAAATTTTACCCGGATCTAGAGAAATGCGAAAAAAGAACCTCAGATCGAAGCTTACCCCGATGCCGTGCTCGAGACAGTAGAGTTCCCAGCAGGCATTTCCGACCTGAATACCTGCCTGACCAATGTGGACTGAGATGCACTCTCTCATTCTCGCAAATTAAAAGAGAAGATGAGAAATTGAATGAAGAAATTGAAGAGGAAGGGTGAAAGCGTTTATGAAGACGCTTTCTTCGAATTCTGAATGTGAGTGGCATTTGCCACATATGGTTTGGTTTTTATAATTGGGATTGCTGTGCTGTCCTTAACTATGGTTTGGATCAGGATGTGGGACGGACGGCAACGAAGGTTGAGTTGTCAATCTCAAGTAACCTAACTTGGTAACCATGGTCACTTGCTAGCTTTTCATTTTTAAATTTTTTTAAATGTTATATTGTTGCCGCCCGAATACCAACCAAGTTTATCCATATTCAATTCACATTTAGAGCATATAAACTATGGTGTTATTAATCCCATATTAAAGGGGATAGTTATCTCATGTCATAGAGATAAATTAATGAGCTCTATCATCTGGAAAAAAAAAAATGATACAGTTATCGAAGGATGTGTAGAAAAAAAACTTGTCTTATGTCACATAAAAATAGTTTTTTCCGTATAAACTAAGTTCATTAATGTTTGACAAAATACATGATCGGAAAATTTTAACATGATTTTGGCTTAAACCCATGGTTTATTTTGAAACATCTTTTTATTGTTTTCTCGTTGACAAATTTACATATCTTTAGACAATATGTGGAAAACACAAATATTTTATGGTGACTTCCCCAAAACTACTTTATCTATTGTCAAGATTTACATTTGATATTTTTTTTTCTTTTTTTGAATACACATTTGATATTTCTTATCAAAGAGAAACAAGCTTGTTATCACTTAAATTAATGAGTTATCTTTTAACCTTTTTAATAAGAAATAAAGGAGTGTTCTTTTAAAGGATACAAGCTTATGTCCTTTTAGTAGTTTTTAATTATATATTTTCGATAATGTTTAATTATAATATTAAAGTTATATTATTATTATTATTATTATTATTATTATTAGAAGTTATAGTAGAAAATTAAAAAAATACAATTATATATTTTCAAAAAAATATAGTTAAAAATTGCTAAAAGAACATAAGTTTATGTCCTTTAAAAAGACATGTATAAACCCTTTTAATAATACATTTGTGTTTCTTTTTATTTTTTTTGGATACAGAGGAAATAAAATAGAAAACCTATAGATTCACAAATCTGGGGCTAAAGTGCCCCTAAAATCACTATGTAGTCTATCCTTATAACCATTAGGAACCTCCCTGAAGACTTTGGTTTCCTATCCATATATGTGAGCTTAGGAGGCAAGACAATCAGCAACATTGTTCCCCTCTCTGTAGGTGTGAGAGACTTTAATTTCCCAGCTCCTCTTCATAAGCTCTTGGATCCTAAAGATCAGATTGGAGAGAGGGTGATTGGAATGAATACCCTTGTGCAGGAAGTCCAGCGCAATTTTTGAATCACTTTCCAAGTGGATTTTCCTAAATCCCTGGTCCCAAGCTAATGAGAGGTCAGCCAGGATACCCCATAATTCAGCCTTGACTGAGTTGCCTGACCCAAGGTTCCTAGAAAAACCAAGCTACCATTTTCCTTCCTCGTCCCTGAAGACACCTCCACACCCTGTGACGTTTCCATTCTTAGTGCTGGATCCATCCACGTTCAGCTTAATCCACTCAGGAGCAGGTTGAAGCCTTTTAACTTGGATTTCAGCTTTTCTATTCTGCTGGAGACCAGCTTTCTGCAAGTTTTGCTTGGCTTCTACATGGTTTCGAAGGAAGGTCTTGGCACTCTTGACCACACCATCTTCTGTAAGGCTTTTATTAGAAAAGATGGAGCTGTTTCTATCATTTCATATCATCCAGCAAGTTATACCAAAGAGCTGAGTCCAATCAGAATTGCCATCAGTCTTGGGGTAATGTCCCGAGTTTTGGTGGAGCTAGTTGGGGAGTGTGGAATGAAAGAAAGCAGCCCAGGAATTGGGGTTAATTAGTCTCTGCCAAATTCCTCTACTCCAATGGCAATCTCTTATCATATGGATTGTATCTTCAGCATGGACAAGGCACCGAGGGCACTGGTTCGACTCTGCCATGTGTCTTCTGAATCTACGGCAGTTTGTTAATAAGTTGTCCCCCATGAGGAGTCAAAGAAAATTTATAATTCTTTGGGGGTCATCCCAATTCAAAACAGAGTTCCAGTTAAATTAAGGGGCAAAGGAAAAGGGTTCCGATAGATTAAGATAAGCGGAGCTGATTGTAAACGAACCATCACTAGATTTTTCCCAGATAGCCTTATCCAAACCATTCAGGGGAGAAGGGGGAATGATCCCAGCTATTGCTCTAGATGCACTAGGGCTGATTAGGTGTTTGAATTTGTGCCAAGCCCAAATATTGTCTCCACTGCCCATATCTCCAACTTTCCACTCCAGACTTTGGATATGCCTTTCCATAGATTGGAGGAGTTCTGGGTCTGTTTAAGGAGGGGATCATTTTATTCTCTACCTTGTACTTGCTTTTAAGCACTCTAGCCCATAGTGCATCTGGGTTAGTGATGATGCCATGGCCAATCTTCATTACATAGGCCTGGTTCAACTTCCTCATAGACCTGAATCCCAGCCCACCTTTTGTTTTGGGTTTGCAAACAGATTCCTAAGGGAGAGCATGAATCTTCTTAGATCCCTGGCTAGAGCCCCAAATGAAGCCTCTAATTTTTTTCCCCGGGTCATCACAAGTACCAACCGAAAGGTAAGAGGTTTGCATTGTATAAGTTGGGAGAGCAGCCAACACTGCCTTTGCTAAGGTTACCCGACCAGCCATAGCTAGGGAGGATTGGTGCCAAGCATTTAGCCTTTTGTTAGCTCTATCCAAAATGAACTTAAAAGAGTTCTTCTTGATTCTTTTGTAATGGATAGGGATGCCAAGGTATTTACCCAAATCGGATGTGAAGTTGAAACCAAGCTCTTGGCTGATCTCCATCACTCTGTTGTGGTTCATGTTCTTGGAAAAGAAGACTTTTGTTTTTGACGTGTTTACCTTTTGGCCAGAGGCTTCACATAAGTGATTAAGGACTTGGTTAACCACCATAACTTGATCTAGAGATGCCTCACAACAGAGAAGGAGGTCGTCAGCAAAGAACAAGTGTGAAATTGGGGGGCCATTTTTGCTGAGAGTGGTTGGTTTCCAAAACTTCTGAGTTGTTGCTTCAAAGATCAGTTGGGCAAGCCTTTCCATACATAACACAAAGAGGTAAGGTGATAGAGGGTCACCCTGCCTTAACCCTCTAATTGTTTGAATTCTGTAATTTTTTCCCCATTACATAGGATATTCATAGTGCTGGAGGAGACACAAAGCATAATAAGGTTAATGAGTTCCTTTGGCAGCTTTAAATCTAGGAAAGTGTCTTGAAGAAAGTTCCACCCAATTCTGTCATAGGCTTTCTCCATGACAACTTTTATCACCATTCAGCCTTTTTTACCTTTTTTTCCTCACATGGAGTGGATCATTTCCTGGGCTATTATGATGTTATCACTGCTTAGCCTGCCTTTAACAAAGCTGCACTGGTTGGGCATGACAAGAGATGGCATTAAACCTTTCAGCCTGTTTAAGATTGACTTTGTCACTAGCTTGTAGATCACATTACACTGGTTGTGTTTCTTTTTATTTGAAACACAACCTTTTACCAATATTTGATAGGGTTTGATGTTTGTCGTTAAATGACATAAGTTATGTCATTTTATGAGAGAGATAGACACAAAAAATAAAAATCATGGAAGAGAAAGTGAGTGATTTTTTTAATTTAAATTTTAAATAAGAAAATATTATTTTGTGTCTATCTCTCTCTTAAAATGACATTACTTTATGTCATTTAAAATGACAAATTCTTTTCTCTATATTGATGCAATCTTCCAGATCTACCGTTTTTTTCTTTTGGAAATTTTAAAAAAGCTTTTTATGCATGTTGAAAAAATAATAATACATTCAATTATCCAACCCGAACGAATTTAAGACGTTTTTAGATAAATTTATTTTAATATTTTATACATTTTCTTAAGAAAATGTTTAAAGAGAAACTTTTTCTTTACGAAAATATTTATAAATATGCACTAATTTAATATATTTAAATAATAATAATTTAATTTTTAAGTTATTTTAAAGCAGTGCTAACTCAACTCTGCCTGTAACCGCAGTTCGAAGAAGAAGCAAGTTGGTTGGAATTAATTGCAAAAAAGGGTGACAATTTACCAACTTTCACGAGGTCCCACCTCTTTCGTTTCTCTTGAAAAAACAAGTAAAAATTTTCAACCTAAAAAAAAAATCTATGTAACAATGTTCTCTTTACCAATATTTGTTAACTTAATTAACAAAAAATTCAGTTCCTTTTAAGTAAGCACTGTAGTTTAAGTTTTTTGAATGAGAAAAATAAGTGCTCGAAAAATTTAGGTCTTATTTAGGATTTGTTTCATTTTTTATCCTGTTTTTAACAACCAGAGTACCAGATCATAAAATAAAATAAAACTTATTTAGAGCCTGTTTGGATCTTCTTATTTTTAAGCTAGAAGCTACTTATAAGCTAAAGCTAAAAAAAAGAGCTTAAAAAATAAGCTAAAAGCTGTTTGGAAATTATATAAAAGTTTTAGCTTAAAAATTACTTAAAAGCACATATTTCAAGAAAATTATCTTTCTCTCTATCTTTATCACTCTTCGTTTAAAAAAAAAACACACAATTCAAGAAAAACATATAAGAGCTTAAAAAAAAACTCCTCTTATGAGTTTTTAGTTTTCAGTTTTTTTCTTCATTATAAAAAAAAGAGCTTTTCGTTATAAGAGCTTTTTCCAAAATCTGTTTGGCCTAGCTTATGCTTATAAGTAGCTTCTAGCTTAAAAATAAGAAGATCCAAACAGGCACTTAGTCATTTATTTTTTCATTTAATCGTCTTGAAAATGTGTTTTCCTTATCATGACTTTTATTATAGAAAATAATAATTGTCTTTTCTTGGAAAACACTTTTTTTTCCCAATAATTACAGCACAAGACAAAAGTCTCTTAATTCATTTTTTAACTTATTAATCATGATTTAATTTCAATTTAAGAACACATTTTAGCTGTTTTTTATAGAATTTTTATTCCTAATTCAAATTACTCCCACTATCGAATCATACTATTGTCGCCGCCGCCACCTCACGTTATCAAACTTTCAAAAGTTATTCTCGTAACAAAAAAAGGAAAAAAATATTATTCCATTTAAATGACACAATTTATATCATTTCACTCTTACAAAAAGGTGGGACCCACATCTTTTTTTTTTTTTTCAACTCTCTATCTTTCTTTATCTATCTCTTTCTCTCTCTTAACATGACACAACTTTACCTCCTTTAAAATGACACACACTTTACCCTAACAAAAATTATCAAACAGGTTTTTAGTATTTTTATTGTGTAAAATAATTTTAACAAATATTATAAAATATTAGGAAGAGAGAGAGAATCAAAACATGTCTTAATAGCCCACGTAGTTGGTAGTTGGACTCGTCGTTTGACTCTAATGTTACAGAAGCTATAGGCCCGAGAAAGAATACAGAAGCTACATTACAAAAAATGGAAAATGTACTTCTTATATTAATGCAAAAAAAAAAATCAGCAACTAATTTTAATTATGTTATAACTAGAAATACATAATTATAATCGATTATTGCAATATAAAAAAAGACCCTAAAACAAATTATCGAAAACTAAAGGGGAAAAAAACAGCTACAGAAAATTAAACAAAAGGAGATTTCACTTCAAGAGGATAGTATATCATATTTTCCATTTCTGTTAATAAAGTTATCGTAATCTTAAACATGGTTTTGGGATTAGGAAAAAAAAACTTACATAATAAACACTAAGGGGACGTTTAATAGAAGAGAAATTTTTATTTATTTAGAAAAAAATTATTACTGGAATATAGTGAGAAATAAATTTTTCAGAAATCTTCCTAAAAAGGTGTTTGGTAATGTCAGATTTTCCCGAAATTCTATGCTTAAATTTATTGAGTGTGTGTTTGGTTGATTGTGAAATATTAGTGAGAATATAGAATTATTTTACGAAAATAACCTCACCTTTATCCTTTGTAGGTTTAGAAGGATATGACACAATGTATCAATAGGGTTATTTTGGTCTATAGCTTTGCACTTTTTGTTCCATTTCTTCTGGAAAAGAAGAATTCCAACTTATATTTGGTATTTTGAGGTTGGAATTTTGGTCCACTTTTGCACTATGGATGGAAATCCCAAAAAAATTGTTTTCCAAGATAATTTTATTTTTTTAGATACCAAACATTGCAATCTAAGACTACCAAGTTCAGAATCCTAGGCATTTAAAATTTTGCCTCCTACCAAACGGCCCGGGTTTAGTGTTTTAGGACATAATTATATCCTCTCTATTTTTTTTGGGTAAATTAATTATATCCTTTTAAATGAGAGAAAATAATACACAATGAAAATCGTAGAAGACGAAAGTGGGTATTATTTTAATTTAAATTTTAAATAAAAATACTAATTTTAACCAAAATGACCTCGTTTAAGAGGACAAACATTTTTTCCAAAAACTAATATAGTCCCAATATTATAAAAATATCTTTCTCTCAATCCCAAAAACTTCTTTGTGAAGTTACTTTGAGATAAAATTTATATCCTGTCAAAAACATTAAACCATACGGATTGAAAAGTTATATTTTAAGATGCAGGAGCAGCTGTGGATCAGAAGTAGGACCAACAGGTTGAGGAAGACCCAGAGGAGTAAATGAGTAATTAGTAGGTTTTCGGACCCGCACAAAAACAAGGCGGTCTAAGAGGAGTGATGACATGAAACCCAAAACTCAATAGCTGAGAGATGAGTAATTTAGATGGTTGTTACTTGTTAGGAAGAGTGTGCGTGGAGTGTGATCATAAGGTTCATATAACTACGACAAATAGCTCTATTGCCATAGCTAACCAATTTCAGCGAACATCTGTTTGCAGGATCTTGAAAGAAATTCCAAGTCTCGTGGTTAGTTGAATCACATATAGTAGAAACTCGCTTTCTTAAATTTTAAACAAGTCACACAAAATAAAATCATGTTCAGATCATTTAGTAGAACCTATACAAAATCCATGATACTCCCACTACTGCAAGCTAACGGTACATCATGTTACCATTTTTTTCGTCTGTCTATCAAGTTAAATTGTACATAAATTTACCCTGTCCAGCATGTCAGCATGTGAACTACGATTAAACTTGACTTTTATTTTCAAAACTGGTTTCACTAGCTATCAAAACAACTTTCGAATTCAGCACAATGTTATTCCTCTCAATATAAAGTCAAACATAAATATATCATTACTTTAAATAACCATCCCTAACAAACTGAGACCAACCGTGGTTTAATTTTGCTGCATGAATATCACAGATGGGCCGAGGTCAAAATTCAGGGCCCACCATACCACTGGCACAGCTATAAAAACTCGCTTCATATTCATAATAATATATACATTATGCACACAGCAAAAACATGTAGTTCTATACATTCTTGGAGAAAATTATTCTTATATGCTGAAACAGAATTTGGTTTTACCTAAGCATTAACAGAGGAAACTGGAACCAAAGACAAAAAGCAAAGATTATAATATGCCAAAAAAAATAAGCAAAGATTATAATAGGGTGTTCACTCTAGCAAGGTCTGTTCCACACAAAGAAGAAGAAAATAGGCGAACTATTGCCAATGATTAGGTTTCATACCCAGCAATGCATATTATTGATGATGAGAACTCAGGTCAGCAGATTATCTATGGAATTCTCCTCCCAAATGACATTGGGGAAGGTAAGTCCACCTCGGTAGGTATCCAGAGGATGCTCGACCATATTCTCCACCCCAAATTGGATGTATTCCATAAGGAATGGGATCTCTTCTCCTTGAGAAATATCTTCCATATTGTCGAAGAGGAAGCCCTCGCTCTGATTTCTTCTTTGTTTCCCATTGTAGAGCAAACAAATCCTTGAATAACCTTCCTTTAATCTTCATTCCTCCAAACTCCTCCTCAAACTTATGCTCCCACAACTCATTGCTGGAGGACAAATATCGCAATTCTGAACACGTGCAAGCCACTTTGGCCAAATCAACACCAGGGAGATGCTCCAAAATCATGAGCTTAAGTTCCATTGGTAGGCGCATAAAACAAGGTGGAAGATCCAATCCAGCCTTCTCACAAAGATCAATTAAGAGTGGCAATGCAAGCCTATCTTTCACCATCTTCCACAATTCAAAAACTTGTTTTCCACATTCATCATCTCCCCCATCATTAAAGCTAGCCTTGGATTCAGAATTTGCCAGCATCAACTTTACAGGCCGGGCAAATTTACATTTATCTAAATGAACCACATGCAACCTCGAGCCAGCATCATCAGACAAAGACCCACAAACATTCACAAGATGCCCCAAGGTCTGAAATTTCAAATTCACAGTTTGAGAGGCACCACTATTCAGAATCTCAGGCAGTGTATACCTCAAAGATATCATCGAAGATGACCCAGAAGGCCAGTCATCAAGAAGATGGGAGCCACTAACCGCCACACCCGAAACCTGATCCGCACGAACAAACCCAGATTCCAGAATAACAGCATGAACCGCAAAGACTAATAGCTTCAAATCGGTAACATCAGTTCCAAGAACTTCTCTGACCACCCTTTTCATAAATGAAGGCTCGGAATCGCTCCTCCCCAACACCGCCTCATCAGACCCATCAACCATATCCATGGTTTCCGCCTCTGCAGCATCCAAAGTCGGAGACTTTTCTGCGGCTGGGATTGAAGGAGCATCGCTCATGTCGATCGACGGCGAGTCTTGAATCGTGGATACGTCAGAGGAATTGGTTTCTTCTTGTGGGGTGGGTTTGTGAAGTAGGGTTTTGTGGGAGAAAGCGTTAGGGTTGAGGGTGTAGAAGACGAGGTCGCCGCCAATGATGCCGATGGAGTCCAGGGACTTATGCGGCGACGAGAGGCCAATTTCGTCCTTTCTATTGAGGGAGAGATGCAGAGAAGAAGAAGAAGAAGAAGTAGAAGAAATGGCACGAGAAATTATGTCTCTGAGTTGCTTCAGAGAACACGAATTGGGAACTTCGATTTTTAGGGTTTCTTTGGATTCCAAAGATCTGAGTCTCAGCTTCATCGTGTTGATTCGAAATGGATTGGGAAGCAAATGGGAATCACAAGGCAAGCGTCTAATGAGTTTTTACTCTCTCTCTCTGCCTCAAATATATAGAATGATTAACCGATCAAATTAGTGTGGAGAAATTAATACGGGGATTACTTATAGTATAAGAGAAGTTTTTTTATGTTAAGAGATAAATAAACTGGATCCCACTAACTTTTAGAAAAAAGAAAAAATAGAAACATATTTGAAGGGAGAGTAATACGAGAGATCCATCTTATTCAACGTAAGAATATGATTTCTCAATTAATATTGCGACCCAACTATATAATTACTTTTTTAAAAAAATTTATCAATCTATCATATTTTTAAAATTATATATCTACATACTTCCGTTTGAACTAAATAGATTAAACAGGCTTAACTTGAAGAAAAAAATTACACATGTCTGATTTTATTCGCTGTTTGATATATATGTAAGTGAATGTCGTATTTACTTTAGATAATACAAAGTAGAAGTATTAAATTGATCATATTAATCAAGAGAGTATTAAAATAATATTAAATTTGAAATTATCAAGACAAAATTAATATTAAATTTATTAAGTTAAATAATATTTAAAATATAAATAATTGGTCGCCTTATTTTTTGAAATTCCTAACAGTTAAAAAATATTAAATTTATTATTAATAGTAATAATTTCATTAGTTTTTCTTATTGAAAAAAATGTTTGTTATTTTAAATGACAGAAAGTTACGTTATTTTAAGAGAGATACAGACACAGATAATTTGAACTTAAATTAAAAAAAACTACTCATTTTCTCTCTGCCATGATTTCTGTTTTTCTGTATCTATCTCTCTCCTAAAATATAATAACTTATATCATTTGAAATGACAAACACCAAATCCTTTCTTATTTGTTCAAAACTAATTGGCTCGTTTCTTATCTTCTTCTTTTTGCAAATAAGAAAAAAATATAATCACAGAATTGGGATAATAAGTGATATTTACGAAATTACGATGCAATGCGAGAATTCTACCGCGTGATAGAATGACAAAAAATATGAGAAAGTGTGGGACGTTCTCTGCCACTTTAAATCCTCTCAACCTAGTTCACCAAAAACAAAAAATCCTCTCAACCTTATTCGGTCTATATAAATTGTATTAATTTGAAATTATTATTTTATAATTAAAATAAATAATTTTTATTTATATGAAGAGAATTTAAAATCTTTACAAATTCAAAAAATGAGTAATTTATTAATAATAAAAATAAGGGCTAATTCACTCTCTCAATGCACGAGTCTTTATCCACGGCTGAAAAGATCAGTGTTAATAAAATCGGACCGACCCAGCCCGGCGACTCAGGAATCGATAAATCGGTCATATACCTGGCCCGGTCTCAAAAAAAAAACAAATTTTTTTTTCAAAAAAGAATCATAATAGACATATTTTAATTTTTTTTGCTTATTGACTTATATAAGTTATGTACGCACAACACTAATATTATTTCAATTTGCACTACGTAGAAAATTTTGATTTGATTTACAGTTAGAGATGTCATTTTCTGAACCTAAAGCCTTGTATCACGATCATTATATTTTTGTTTAATCTTTTATTGGATAATAATATGAGGTTTATTATTTTTATATTAAAATATTTGAAATTTTTATCATTTTTTTTAGATATTTGAATATGTTTATAATTTTTTAATATAAATAATAAAATTACATATAATTACCGAGTCATGCGGTTGAGCCAGTAACCCAGTACCTCGACCGAGTCAATGACTGAGCCGATTTTAATAACACTGAAAAATACAACATATGATGGAATACGCCATATGTAAAAATAAAAAAAAAATAATAGCACAATTTCAATGGCTCAAATAATAATATAATTATTAATTTTCCTTTTTCTATCTCTATTTGTAAAAGATAATCGATTGGATTGAATTATTTTGAATTAACAAAAAAAAATAAACCAATAGTTAGATTGTATTATTAATAACAAATTTAATAACTTTTAAATTTCAGAAGTTCTTAAAGATTTTGTCAGACAATTGAGAATTATTTCTAATTTTAAATATTATTTGAATTAATGAATTTAATACTTTTTTTTTTGGTATCCTTAATACTGAATTTTAATTTAATGTTAATTTGGTTAATTTAATATCATCTGCTTGATATTTGCACCGGCAAATGAGGGACAACAAATGGGGTCGCCGCATATAAAATTTAACTTTAAATTGGGACTCAGTCGGTCAACTTTGATCAAATATGAATAAATTAGTATATGTTATCAAAAAAAAATAAAAAAAAATTAGTATATAATTTGATAAGTATGGTATATATATTGATAAAAAAAAAAATGGTCAATCAACCTAATATTCCGTTAAGTATCTGATGTCACAGATTTTTAATAACGTTATTAACTTTTAGCGTTTTTAAAAGAAGTTCGTTTTTTCTGAAGTTACTGCAGATAAGTTATCTGTAGTAAATTCAATATGACGTTGTTTTGGGGAGAAATCATGGTGTTTTTATAATTTTAATTTATTTCAGAGTTATGATAGTCTTTATATTTATAATTTTTTAAAATTTCAATATCAAAACGTCGTCGTTTTGAGAATAAATACAAATAACTTATATGCATTAACGGCAGAGCAACGTCATATTGATATTGATGTGATAAAATAATGTAATATATTCAACCACGTGGTGAGGACTCGTTTCCTTTATCCAGAATTAAAAAAAATGGTCTTAAAAAATGAATTGATGTGATAAAATAAATTAACACAACTTTTATTATTTCTGTCCACTGTACAACTTTATATTTAACCTTCTAAATGGTTTAATTTATATTAAATTGTACGCTTACTAACGCACTTTTTGATCATTTTATCTCTTATTAATTAAAAAATAATTATTTTGTTCCTGTTTCAAAATTATATACCAATATGCCCTTTTAATCGATTACAAACACACTTAATCAATTAAATGTACAAAAAAAAATTTAACCAATTACAAAAAAAATTAATTGATTACGTTTTCACCATCTTCGTCATATTATATACAGAATTAATGGTCGGCAGCCTCACAATCCTTAAGGAATCATGAATTAGTCATCCATTTATCTGAGCATTTCACGGCACCACTTAGCCTCTTAGCTCTTTCATTGAAGACTATCATCCATTAATCTTTAACGATGAGAGAACCGTAATACTGGATCATTTCAGAGTTAGATTTCTGATACACAGGATCCCTTTACAGGGCAAGTGTAGAGCATACTAACTTTCTCATCCAGAGATTAGTAATTATAGTAAGAACATTATACTGGGTTTTCGGAGAAAAGAGATAACTCTTTAGAAATTCATAGGAAAAACACATAAGCTTTTATTTTCTGTAAACTCGATCTGAGAATACAAGCACACGCAAGGTTTCCTTTTATAGGCAAGGAACCATAATAACAACAACATAAGAAATTACACCTCACCAAACATAATTATACAATAAGACAAACAACTTTTCTAAAAGTTGATTTATTAGCACACTCTTTATTTTACAACCACACACGTGTCTTTGTACTTCTAGACATCATCAGTAGTGTCGGTACTAATAGACAAGTTTAGTGTCTTCCTTTCTTATGCGTGGACCCCATCGTACATCTCTTTCCACCAAGGTTTGTCTGCTTTGGCTTTTTCTTCAATTATCTCCATCATGACATCAACATTTGGATCTATTGGATCAATAATCAGATCAACTTGCATTTGATCTGGGCCTTGAGAAGAGCTTGGGTGATCTTCTGGTTCTTCATACCCATTAAGTTCTTGGACATGTTTTAACAGGGCTGTCTTGGAACATTAAAATATCCCCATAGATATGCAATATTCTGAGACCAAATAATTCCATCGAGCCTTTGCCAGTATAGTTTGTGAATGATGAAGATGGCAGTGAGTTTTGAAACCTCTTCTTGTGTTTTTCCTTCTTGTTCCTTGGATAGAATGATATTGCGCAATTCCTTTCTCCACCATGGTAATGGAGAATACCATTCTAACAAGGTCCATAGAAAGTAATATGCTGCTCAAGGAGTCATGAGAATCTCATAAGTTCTTTGAATCTTGAGAGCAAGAGGAACTGAATGGTTGACTGTGAGACACCATATACTCCAGAGTGTTTTTTTTCGTAATGTCATAACCTACATCACAAAAAACTTGTAAAATGTGCAAGAAAGGAATTTATGGGTTAAATACTGAAGGGATAACATTTTTTGTTTTCGTGGTTTCAGGAGTATAATAAAAATAAAAGTCTTTAGCAAACTTTTGGATTTGGTAGACTAAGGTAGGTTGGCCTAATTCTGGAAGATAATCTCTTTTATGCTTGGCTGCTATGGGTAATGGTTAATGCATGAATATCAGAGGAAAAAGGACAGTGGCTATGCTGGAAATGACTTGAACATGTGCTTTAGGTTTGGACGGTTTTGAAGGTCTGGATAGGAGGTCAAAGATGATATTGTGGCTTCCTTGGATATGTTTGATAGTGAAATTATATCTAGAAAACCAGTCTTTCAGTCTGAGGATTTGGGGGTTTGGTGGCATTTTGTTTTTGAATTCCAGGATTTTTGGAAAAGAGGAATTATCCATCTGGACTTCAAAATTATGACCACGAAGATGGAAATAAAATTTCTTGATTATACTTTTGACTGCCAGGGCTTCTTTATAAGTGGTATGATAATGTAGCTCTGCATCTGTGAATTGACCACTTGCATGTCCACAATAATATTTCTTGTTATCATCTTCTTCTATTAGGACAGCTCCCCAAAAATGATCACTGGCATTTGTTTGGAGAATTCTTTTACCAGTACTGGGAATTTTCAAGGCTGGTGGATTCTGAGCAATCTTTTTCAGTTCTTTGACTGCTTGGGTTTGTTCTGAACTCCAAGGAGGAGGATTTTTCTTTAAAAGCTTTGATAATACACTGGTGTACTTTGCTGCATGAGGAATGAAATCTCTTACATAATTAACAATTCATAAGAATTGTTGAATTTGTTTTACAGTGAGATTTTCATCAGGATAGTTTGCAAGTCCT